GGGCGAGAGGTGTATCAGCAGCAGCAGCTGCACATGGCAATGGCTTGCAGTGAGTGCCATGGCCGAAGCAGGCTACGAGGTCTGGCCAAGCCTGCTTAACCAGACATGCTTTGCTGAAGCACCTGGTAACCAATGTGGTGGTAACCAGACAAATGGTGGCAGCATGGGTAGCAGTCCTGAGATTAGCCAATCCAGCGGCAACAGTGAGGACTTGCAATAGCAAGGATGGTGATGCTAGGCTAGTTGGAGACAAATGTCACACGTGCCGCCTCCCTCGCATGGGCAGAGGCAGCTTCTGTAGCACCACCAGCAGCACCAGCAGTGGCAGCAGTATTGGAGCAGGCACAGAGGCCACTGCCCGCACCAGTGCCAGTCGCAGCAGTTTCTGCAGCAGCAGCGGCAACAGCAACGGCAGCAGTAGTGAGAGCAGCGGCGGCAGCAGTAGTGAGAGCAGCGGCGGCAGCAACCCAGCGTGTGGCTTCTGCTGCTGTGGGAGCAGCGGGCAAGGCATGATGGATGGAAGCGGTAGCATGGATGATTGGCCCTTGGTTTGCTGCTGTGCTGCTGGCCTCAGGGCATGAGGGCAACAAGAGGGAGGCCACAGCAGCAGCAGCAGCAGCAGCAGCATCTAAGGCTTTTGATGTGACTATATCGAAGCCCGTGAGGCAGACTGCTCTCTCTACAAACCTGTCTCTGTTGCTTCTAGGGGAGGATGGGCCGCTAGGGACAGAGGATGGGGCTGAGGAGGAGGAAGAGGAGCGAGAAAGGGTGGTGAGGAGGGACGAGGAGGGGGGGCGATGATGGTGATGATGAGAGGGAGTATGAGGAGGAGGATGAGGAGGAGGAAGAAGGGGACGAAGAGAAGTGTAAAACAGGGAAAAGGGAAGAAGGAAGGGAGGGAGGCAGAGGCACAGGGGTGCGAACAGGAGGTGAAGGTCAGGAGCAGCAACATCAACCACAGCAACAGCAGCGGCTGCAGAAGCAGCAGCAGCAGCAGCAATGCTCGATGCCAAAAAGCGCATCCGATCAGAGCTCGCCAGGTCCCGTGGTGCGATGGCTGCTACCTGCTGATGACGACGATGACGATTCAGATAGAGTTTCTCACAGCGGCCCGCTGTCACGTTCTCACGGGGATAAGGGATTCATTGGCCTGGAACCACCACACGAAGCACCAGCACTGGCAAGAGCAGCGGCAAGAGTCCTCAAAGAGCGGGCATCCTCAAGTCTAGAAGCACGGATTTGAAAACGGATGAAGCTTCTGTTGCCCTGGCTGCTCCTCCTGCTGCTGTCCCTGCTGCTTCTGCTGCTGCTTCTACCCCTGCTGCTTCTGCTGTCCCTGCTGCCGCTGCTGCTACTGCCCAGACTGGTGATGGTCTTGACACTGGGTTCGGGCGGCAGACCAGGCGTGTGAGAATGAGTCTAGACGAGGTGGGGGTCAGCTCGGTCAACGCAGTCAACGGGGTCAACCACAAGGTCGAAAGCGCGCAGATCCACTGGCTCCATGCACGAAGGGGATGGTGCCGACCATTGCCGCCCGCCGTAACACCCGTGCCGCCCAGGCGGCTACTGGGAGCCCTTCCGCCCTGCCGCCGGCTCTGCCGGCGGGTGCGTCGATGCGCAAGGAAAGTGATGGAGCGAGGCTGCTGTGCCAGGCACTCAAGGGAAAGAAAATTCTCGTGGTAAGTTTCCCTGGACTGCCCTCTCTCTTCTTTCAAGCGGCTCTGGAACTGTCCTATCTACAAAATTGAGAAATAAATGAGGGATTGTGTGTATATATATATATATATATATGTATATATATCTGTGCCCCTCAATATGCTGCCAGGTGGATGACAACATGGTGAACCTCAAGGTGATGGCACGCATGCTGCAGAAAAGCTCTCTCGTCCCACCGTTCGCCCAGCGCTGCCCTCCTCCCTCTACCTTCCTTCCCCCCCTCCCTCCATCCTCTCCCAGGTGGACGACAACATGGTGAACCGCAAGGTGATGGCACGCATGCTGCAGCGGTACGGCGTGGAGGTGGAGACGGTGGATGGCGGCGCCAAGGCTGTCAAGGCCGTGCAGCAGGCGACCACCAGATTTGATTGCGTCTTCATGGACGTGCAGGTGCGGCGGTTGTGTGTCTGGGCGGCTGTTGTTGGATGTTACTGGGCTGTGTTTGGGGGCCGGAGTCCAAGGTTTGTACTTGGATTATGCATCCATTCCATAGCTTGTTATGATAATGGGTCCTTTCCGTGGTTTGCGATCAATGGATTGATATTTTCTTACAATGATTTTTTGCAGATGCCGGAGATGGACGGGCTTGAAGCCACGGGCCTCATCCGCAAGTATGAAGCTGATGTGAATGGTGGAAACAATATAAAAGGCCGGGGAGCAGACCGGCTATTAGTGATTGCACTAACAGCTGATGTGGGTGCTGGCACGAGGGAGAAGTGCTTGAAGCATGGGATGGATGGGTACATGACCAAACCTATAGAGGAAGAGCAACTCTGTCGGGTTGTGTTGCCGTTTTTCACAGCCTTGGCAGCTTGTTCAAGAACATGAAGCTTCCTGTTTTGTTCTTTTTGATACACAAGCTTTCTATGTTATGTTGCATTTTTCATGTTTAAAGCTTCCTGTTTTGTTCTTTTTGTCAGAGCATGTAAGTGCAATTTGTTGTTTGGATATGGAAGCTCATAAAGCATAAGTGCAGGGTGCCGTTATTAACAGCGACGCTGTAATGAATTACAATTTAATTCTGTCGAGGCTGCTCCTAGCGAGGGCAGTCGCGAACACTGCGCGTCAGTTTCAGGTTCGGCCTACATTTCGGCCCGAACCACTACCGAGTCGCCCCGCACCAATCGCGACATTCCCAAACCACGCACGTCACAAGGTTCAATCGTCATTCCGTAATTCATCCCTTTTATAAAGTCTTCCACGCACTCTGTTTAGTACAGCTCATAACAGACGCACCCATCTCGTCCGTCAGAGCCGTCTGTAAGTTCCCTTGGGATTCCATTGGGATTGGCTTGATTTGGACATCCCCGTTAGAGTCAACGCTGAAGCGAAGCATCTCCGACGCTAAGACAACAAAGACAACACTGCAGGGCTGCCGAGCGGAACAAGACCCAATTTGCTACAAGCTGGTATAATGGAAGCATATGAAGCAAAAATAGTGGAAGCACAGGATAATGGCGTCCATTGGGAGAATCCCCCTTTCCGCGGATCCGTAGCCTTGTTTGGGTATTTTTCGCGATCACCACGCTCCGCGTCGTCGATAACTATGCGGCTGCGTTCAGATTGTAGATTAGCACTCTGGATTCTGCTGTCTGTTTCCACTTACAAGCTTGACATTTTCGACATTTTCATTTTCCAAGCGTTGTCACTTCTATAGACGAGAGTGCAGAGATGAGCGTTGTTGCGTGAAGATAGAACAAAAACTCGCTGTCATTCGGTATTCTAGTATTTGTTAGGCGCGTGACTGGTATTTTGGTGCGCTGGGATGGCTTTCTTCGAAGCTCGCCGCTCGTTTGACCGTGCGCTGGCGTCAGACACGTGGACAGACCCCGCTATAGTCACGAGAGCCGTTAAAAGACGGTTAGGACTACCTGAGCCTGAAGAAACAGCTTTTGTGTCCGCTAGAGGAAGCTGCGACGCAGTTTTGTTGGGGGAAACAGAACGCAGGGAGAAATAGAGAATGCGGCAGAAATGCTAGAGGAAATAGCTGCTGGTGCACCTTCTTTTGGGGAAAACGGAACGCAGGGAGACATAGAGAATGCGGCAGAAATGTTGGAGCAAATAGCTGCGAGTGCACCTTCTATTGGGGAAAATGGAACGCAGGGAGACATAGAGAATGCGGCAGAAATGTTAGAGCAAATAGCTGCTGGTGGATCCGAAGCAACAGCTAGTAACGGAGCGACCCGAGCAGCTCAAGATGGAAGCGGAGAGGCTTCTAACGGAGCGGGAGTAGAATCTAGCGACGGGGAAGTCAGGGGATGGCCTCTTCGCAGCCAGACGGCCCAGACGGCATATCACAACTCTCCAGGTGCGTCGCGAAAGTGCTTTTGAGTCGTCGGGAAAGTCCGTCTTCGTTATCTTTTACCTGCCAGCATGGCATGTGGTTGCGAGTGCTGTCTGTTCATTTTCATTGTGAGACGTCGAGCGTATGGTTGCGAAAATTCTCTTTATTTGTTCGTCCAGCTGCGATGGTCATGCTTTCGAAGGGGAAATAATTGCGTAGATAGATGCGGCACTGTTTTCACCAAACAGCCAAACAATCAAATTCCACATTCTCAGGCGTAAGGCAACAACATATCGTGTCAGGTTTTGGTCAGCTCCATGATTCTCTGTGCGCTTTTCCTTCTTCGTGCCCACCACCTCCAGAGTCCTTGCTTCATTTGTGCGATGTTTCCTGTGTGCGTCCGATATTTCCCCATGTGCGTCCAATATTTCCCCATATTTGTCCAATATTTCCAATATGCGTCACTATGTCCATGTGCGGCCTTTTCCCGTCCTACAGACGGCGCCACAAATAACAGCAACTCAGCCGCTCCAGCCGACCCTCCACCCACCGAAGCCCTTCCCCCCTCAGCAGCAGCAGCAGCAGCAGCAGCAGCAGCAGCCAAAGGACCTTCCCAGCCGGAGCCCCGGCTGACGCACGAGCAGTACTCAGGTCTGGCGGAAGGCGCGGATATGGACAAGGTGGTGGCAGCGCGGGTGAGGGACACGGAGGGCATGCTGGAAGCGCTGCGCAGTGCGGCGGGCAGCAGCTTTGAGGACATGGCGCTGCACCGCGAGGAGTCCCGCGCCCACCCCGAGGCGTTCGGGCAGCGCGACTGGCGAGTGAGAATAACTAGGGGGATTGTGTAGTGGGGGTTGAGCTGGACTGGGGGGGTGAGCGGGGTAGCAGGGACCAGCAGGGCAGGTGCGTGAGTGGAAGCACAGCAGTGCGGCGGGCAGCAGCTTTGAGGACGTGGCTCTGCACCGCGAGGACTCCCGCGCCCACCCCGAGGCGTTCGGGCAGGCAGCGCGACTGGCGGGTGAGCGAGCGAGGCAGGTGAGCGGGAGTGGCGGGTGGGGGGGGATAGGCGCGTGAGAGGGGGAGGCGGATGAGTGTGGTAACAGAGAGGAGTCACGAGCAAGCCACACCCTGATAGCACGCCACACAATTTCTGAGGGCACAAGTAGAGTCACCCGTGCGAGGGAGAAGGTTTTTTTTGCGCATAACAAGAATCGAATCTTGAGGGGGTGTTCATACCTCCATCTTCCCCTCCCCCCTCACCTCCCCTAGACAATCCTCCCCTTCTTCATACCTTCTCCTCCCTCGCCCTGCGTGCAGCTGAAGGAGCAGAGCAAGAGCCACAGGGTGATGTACCGCCAGGGGCGGAGGGGGTGTTCATACCTCCATCTTCCCCTCCCCCCTCACCTCCCCTAGACAATCCTCCCCTTCTTCATACCTTCTCCTCCCTCGCCCTGCTTGCAGCTGAAGGAGCAGAGCAAGAGCCACAGGGTGATGTACCGTCCAGGGCCAGAGGGAACGGCCTTTCACGAGCTCTGCTTGGAAGGCGTGCTCAAGGGCTCCCTCGACACTGGTGGGCTCTCTTTTGGTTAGCCGGATTTACTTAGTATGGCCGAGTGGTATTTTTTGTGCCCAAGGGCTCTGTAGGTATTGGTGGTGGGCTGTTCTTTTGTCTTTGGGAGATCAATTTTGGTGGGCTGTTCGTTTGGTGTGGTGCTGTCTGTGCTCGTGATGTTTGCTGCATCCTCTCCGCCTCTGCCCCCATTGTTTACCTTCCCTAGCGCATGAATCTCACATCCACGCCCATCACTTCATCTTTTTAAGACATCTAACAGGGCGCATTAATCTCACATTCACGCCCGCACTTCGTCTTCTCCATTGATTATCTGCACAGTGCGGCGCGATTGGAGACTTGTTTTGGGCTTCAATTTTTGGTCGTTTGACATCCCCTCGTTCTCTTTCTTTCTCCTCCGTCCACATTCTGCAGTGCTCGCAGTGGCATGGGAGGCTCCATTCTTCATTGACTGGTAGGTGTGCCTTCCGTGTGTCATCACGGGTACGAACACGTGTCCTCATGCGTACAAACAAATGTTTCATTGGGTACATACATGTACTTTGAGGCGCCTCAAAATGCACAAATGTTTCATTGGGTACATACATGTATTTTGAGGCGCCTCAAAATGCACAAATCTTTCATTGGGTACATACGTGACTACAAGCACGGGATTTCATGGTAGCCTACCCTTTATGCTATCCCCACCTTTTCCCATTTCGTCGGGTATTGTGGTGCTACCTGCAAGATTTGAAACCGGCAACAGAAGAATATACAAAAAGGGAGGTTGCATGAAAGGTGTTTTTGCACCCTGCCGTCTTCCACTTAGCCCTCGTCCACCCGCCCGTTTTCGCATGAAAGGTGTTTGTTGTACAATCCCATTTCGGCCTGCAGATCCCCACCACCATCTCCCCTCTCTGATCTTTTGAGTCGACTCAAAAGTATTTTCGCATCAATCCCATTTCGGCCTGCAGATCCCCACCACCATCTCCCCTCTCTGAGCTTTCTTCCCTGTCGTCATTTTCCTCCCTTGTCTCCATCTCCCTTTGTCCTTCCCTCCCTCCCTCCCTCCTTCCCTCCCTCCCTCCCTCACACCACGTCTCTCCATGCCACCATGCCCCTCCCTTCCCCCCTCGCCCGCAGGTGGCCGCAGTTTTCGGTGCCGCCATTTCACATGCTGGAGTCCAAGTTTGTCAAGAGAGTGGCGCCGGGATACGAGCTTGTACACCTCCGGTCAGTCAGTGCTTTGTTAGGGAAGGAGCCCAAGGGCAGCAGGGACGTCATGTCACACACCAACACTTCTCACACCAACGTGCACTCTTCTTGAGCCAACTCACACATCTTGTGAGCCCTTGTGTGCTCTTCTTGAGTCGACTCACACACATCTTGTGAGCCCTTGTGCGCTCTTCTTGAGTCGACTCACACATCTTGTGAGCCCTTGTGCGCTCTTTTGCGCTTCCCCTGTCCCGCCCCTCACTTCCCACGTCCTCACTAACAGCCTCATACTAACAGCTTTCCATCCAATCCCTTCTGCTCCCCTTCCCTGCCGCCCACGCTCCTCTGCAGTTTCAAGGTGCCGTGGCCATTCGCCACGCGTGAAATACTCTACGTGCTCTTCTCCGTTCACGACGCTGCTACAGGCTTCATCGCCACCTCCCTCATCTCTGTCAGTGCTCCCACTCCCTAAGGTGATCTCCGAGTTAATGTAAAAGACATGCTCTACGTGCTCTTCTCCGTTCACGGCGCTACTACCGGCTTCATCGCCACCTCCCTCATCTCTGTCAGTGCTCCCACTCCCTAAGGTGATCTCCGAGTTAATGTAAAAGACATGCTCTACGTGCTCTTCTCCGTTCACGGCGCTACTACCGGCTTCATCGCCACCTCCCTCATCTCTGTCAGTGCTCCCACTCCCTAAGGTGATCTCCGAGTTAATGTAAAAGACATGCTCTATGTGCTCTTCTCAGTTCACGACGCTGCTACCGGCTTCATCGCCACCTCCCTCATTTCCGTCAGTCCCACCCACCCCGGTTTTTTGTCCCACCAACCGGGTTTTTTGTCTTCCTATTTGAGCGCCTGCTTGCACTCCTCTTGAACACCTCACTCGCACCATGCTGTACCACTCCCTTCTTTCTGTTCTCTTGTCCATTTACCATGCTGCTCCTGCTGCTGCTGCTGCTGCTGCTGCTGCTGCTGCTGCTGCTGCTGCTGCTGCTGCTGCTGCTGCTGCTGCTGCTGCTGCTGCTGCTGCTGCTGCTGCTGCTGCTGCTGCTGCTGCTGCTGCTGCTGCTGCTGCTGCTGCTGCTGCTGCTGCTGCTGCTGCTGCTGCTGCTGCTGCTGCTGCTGCTGCTGCTGCTGCTGCTGCTGCTGCTGCTGCTGCTGCTGCTGCTGCTGCTGCTGCTGCTGCTGCTGCTGCTGCTGCTGCTGCTGCTGCTGCTGCTTCTGCTGCTGCCGCCACCGCTGTCTCCGTGCGGGTTGCCACTGCACAATTACTGAGCATTGCCCACTCAACCCACTCGCCCATCTGTTTCTCCTTTCTCTTGTTCATCCCATTACGTTGATTTTCTCCCGATGGCTTGCACCGTTTCAAATGTTCCACGCCTCCCCACTTCAAGTATTTCCCCTTCTTATCATATGTTCAATCTTCTCCTCACACACCCTTCTTTTCTCGCACCTGATCCCCCCCTACAGTATCCAGATGACCCAGCTACCTTTGACCCTGACTCATATGGTTTCTCCAATGACGGTGTGCCACGTGTGCGCTCTGGAGAGGTCCGCATGAGTGTGAAGGGGGGCTTCGCATCCAAGGACCTTGGCAACGGCCACTGCTACTTCCGGTCAGTCGCTGTGTGCCAAGTCAACAGAGTGTGATGTGAAGGGGGTATTTCTGTATCTAGGTGATGTGAAGGGGGTATTTCTGTATCTAGGTGATGTGAAGGGGGTATTTCTGTATCTAGGTGATGTGAAGGGGGTATTTCTGTATCTAGGTGCCTCATGAGAGTGCGACGGGCGTTGGAAACGCCTACTGCAACTTGCGGTGCGCCATTCCTTGTTAAGGCGATTGGAAAAGACGTGTTTGTGAGGGTGCTTTTCAGGTGCCCCGCAAAGGTTTTAAAGGCGGCGTAGGCACTGATGAAGACCTGGTAGGGGATGCCCTCCAGCCGAAACATGTTTGTCTTGTTTTAATTTCTGTTAATGAGAAGAGTTCCGGTTTCACAGACTCTCGGCTATTAGCTAGTGTTAAGAGTTTCACTGTTTTTTCCTACTTGCTTAAGCCTAAACCTAGGCACTGCTGCTCACTGGAATTATGTCAGAAGACGTGTTTGTGAGGGCGCTTTTCAGGTGCCCCGGAAAGGTTTTAAAGGCGGTGTTGCAGTGAAGGGGTGGGGCTAGAGTTGCTGCTCATTTCGGTCCGCCTTTGCTTTGCGAAATGGCTCAGATTGGTGTGAATGGGAGTCCTGCAGCGAACGCATGACGTAATCAACAGGTATTACCCTCGGTGTCGCACCAACCTCTCCTAATCACCCCTTTCCCCCACTAATTCCCTGCTTCCTAATCGTTGCCACGCCCCCCCTGCTCCTTGCAGCGGCGTGGCAACGATTGACATGAAGCTGAACCTCATTCCACCGTGGGCCATCAACTTTGTGTCGCGACAGCTGGCGGGGTCTGGTTACCACCTGCTCTACAGTGTGCGTGCGCCTGCTGTGTCTGTAACTGGTGCTGTTGCTGGCGCTGGTGGTATAGCCACTGCTGTTTTTGTTGCTGTCTCTACTCTATGAATGTTGAGTGTACTGCCAAGAGATTGTACCTTTTTTACCACAAGTACTCCATTCGCTTAGCATGTGCATCATCTGTTTTCCTCACTCCCTCTCCCCACTCCCTATCTGATTCTCTCACTTTCCCTCTCTGCGTTTTCCACCCTCCCTCCCTGCAACCCTCAGGAGGTAGAGAGTGTGGCGGACGGCAGCAACAAGGAGGCGGACAAGTTCCGCGCGCTGCTGCGCTCAGACCCCTTCTACTACTCCGTGGGCCGCGCCATGCGCTCCCACGCAGCCGCAGCAGCAGCGCAGGGCGAGCGGGCGAAGCAGGAGCGGGAGCAGCTGCAGCAGCAGGGCGAGGCGGAGTCGTTCCGACAGATTGGGGAGCGAGTGGAGAAGCACGTGGAGAGGCTCGTTGCGATCACGTCTGGGAGTGGGAGTGAGGTTCCTGGTGGTGCTGGTGGTGCTGGTGGTGCTGGTGCTGCTGCTGCTGCTGCTGCTGCTGCTGGTGGAGGTGATTCGGGAGTCATGAATGCAGCTGAAGCATTAGCAGAGGAAGCTGCTGCGCAGGTGCCGGCTACAGCAGGGACGCCCAAGGCTGCCTCCCCTGCGTTACTGGCGAGACCGCCACGCCCTCCCTCGCCCAGGAGGCTTGTGGCCCCTGCACAACCCGCTACTGCAAAGGCAGCAGCAGCAGGCACTTCACCAGCAGCTCAAGGCCTGCAGTATGGGCAGTTAAAGCAGAGGGACCCGGCAATATACCATGCAGTTACCACCCTCGATAGAGCCATCTCGTTTATGAGAGCCAGAGCAGCAGCTCAGCGCCAGGCAGCACCTGCTGCTGCAGGCAGTGGTGCTGCTGGGCTCCCAGGCCTGGTACCGCCGAAGCAAGAGGTTTGGAGCTACAGTGGCGAGCTTCGGCCTGTACCTAGGCAGGGTGAAAGTGGAGGGGATGGGGGTGCTGGGGAGACTGGTGGGAGTGGGGAAGGGGGAACTGAGAGGGTGTGGATGCTGACTAGGACAATATCGGCAGGTCCTGCGGATCACGGGAGGGGTGAGGGGCTTGGGTTTGAAACAGCAAGATTGGTCCAAGAATCAATACCAGTGCCAGCATTAGCATCAGGAACAGCAGCGACAGAAACATCTGTTTCGCAATCAGCAGCAGCAGCAGGTGCAGCAGCACAGGGAGTCACAAGAGCGTCATCAGCAGCAGCTGCAGCACCCCTTCCCTCGGTGGCAGTTGAGCTTGAAGCAGCAGAACAGCAAGAGGGCACAGATACTAGCAGGGATGTGCCAGTCACCAATGCTGCAGAGGCAAGTGTAAGTACTATTGAGCGGCCATCTTCGGCCCCCTTAGGAGGGAAGGGAGGGAGGGATGAAGGGCGGAGGTTAACTGAGGGAGAGGAGGATGCAGGCAGCAAGGGTAACAAGAAGCAGGGTGGGAAGAGACCCTGGCGCAAGGGGTTTTTTAGTCTCAAGTTCTCCAGAAGTCCAGGTTGATCGCAGTGCATGGGCCTGGCAAATTCCTGCGATTGTGTCACATACTAGGTAAGAACCATTATGTATTACTAGTTGGTCACATTTATGTGTTTCTTTGTACTGTGGTTAATTTCTTACATGCAGATACATTAGATTACGTTTACACGTTTCAGTATGCATTGATGTCTATGTAGTAACTAAAACGGAAACCATAGTCTCCTGCATTTTGCTGAAGGAAGCTCACTACAAAAGGAGTAAGCTGAGAGAGCTGCAATGGCTGTTTCTTGAAGATGCAATGGTGAGTGGGAGCGACGTATATCACCTCTTGTCAGGAGCTAATCTAAGTAGGGGAGACTTCTTGTGCATGTTGAGTAGGCAGCGGGTGTCTGACAAGGAGAGGTGGCCTCCACTCCTTTCGTTGCCGCTCCGCTGCCAGTCTCTCTTCGTACATCTCCTTGGTTTCCACCTGTACCAGCCGTTTGACCTGGAAGCGAAGGCATGAAAGAAAGCAACTGAGTTAGTGCCTTGTCGGAATGCAGCACCACCAATATTCCCCAGGAAAGGGCCCTCCACACACAGGAGGTCCGAAAGTCGAAGTGGTGCGAAAAAAACTCATATCTTCCTCCTCAAGCCTTGCATTACAATGGAATAATCGCAAACGGCGATGGTCTGGAGGATGCAAACTTTCCGCAGTTACAGGTAAGCGGCAAAAACGGAGTTCTGGGACGTCATAGCCTTGTAAGTGAGCGCACCTTTTCGATCATCCCTATGACTGATGGATTGTTAGGCAATTCAACCGTTGACTCTCGCTTCCGCAGGCCTAGAGCAACGACGGTAGCCCGTTGATCGGACCTCTTTCCTGCCAATCCACGCTTCAGCGTCACGACCAGCCTACTTGACCATCTGATGGCCGGCTGGGCGGATGATGCGGAAGCCATGGTGGAATTTAGGGTACAGTAAACAGCTCACAGAGTGCTTGGAAGTTCTGGTGTTAGTCGAAACACTTAGGTGCCGTTTGGCAACCAACTACATTGCAGCAAAAACACTGTCGCACTTAGCAAGGGAGGGACGGTTTTGACGAAATCTCGCTGCAGCTGTTTCGCACAGGAAAGCAGGAATGATGCTGTAACGAAACTCTTCATATGGCAATTCATTTTCCTTCGCCTGTATAGAGCCAGTTGTTCGCAAAACAAGGTTCCTGCTTGCCGTCTTGTCTCAGTCAGATCGAAAAGAAGTTACTCGCGAAGGCAACACACACAATTCCTTAAAGCTAATGTTGCAACATTCCCTGCACATATTGACGATCAGCCAGTCAGTCCACAATTCTCGCTCATGGAGCACACGCTGATCCGGATCCGACGGTCGACGGAGGGATTGGGGAGTGAAACGCGAGCGTCTAGCAATGTCACTAGCACCTTAACGCTTTCTTCAGCTGCATTTTCACAGTCGACTGCTGGAGAGCTAGCACGCCGCGCGGTACCATTTTGCCTAAGCGTTGCCGTGTGTTTGTTGATGGGTGAGTATCGACGTGACGTGTGATGTTCTCCTTAGTTTCTTCTGAAGTTGACTGTTTCTTGCAGTTATCATATGGAGCCTGCGCAAGACAGATTCCGCTTATCTCTTCATTCAATCCCAAGAGCTTAGGCAATCCTTGCAGGGGGAGCTGACAGCAATCAAGCTACCAGAAAACAGGTTTTTAGCAGTATTCCAAGTTAACAGCAACCAGTGCATCCACGAGAAATTCGCTGAACGCCGGTTATTTTTTGCGAAATGCGGATTCATGACCTTGGGAGAAACGTCATGGAGCAACACGACATTCGTATACTTCGCCGACCAAGCCGTCCACGCCATTTGCTCGCGTGATAATGAAACGGATGGTTCCATGGAACCCACTATGCTGCGGATCTATTACGACACTGGCAGCGTGGATCTGCTCGTTCGCAAGGTTCATCTGGCGTCCTGGGATGGACTAGTGTATGCTGCAGCAGCTGAACCCGAAGGCCTGTATGTCTGGGCGAAAGGTATCGCTCACCTTCACAACGGAAGTCTTCACGGTCAGATCAAGTGCCTGATCAACGGAGTTGCGACAGCTCCGTTGATACTCTCCCAGGAGGTTGCGCTCTGTCCAAATTCTCGGACTAATGTTACACAGTCAGGATGTGGCTGTCTCGACTTTCCAGTCACGCTAACACTACATGGATCACCTTTACCCTCTGTAGCTTCCATCTGTAGGCCCAATTCCACGCTCAATTCTACCAGCGCAGTATCTGACGAGGCACTACAAGCAGCCAATTACAGTCAAGCCAGGAGAAGCGGACACATCGTTCTCCGTGACGGGTATCCTCATGCCAACACATCCACTGACGAGTCCCCCGTGAAGCAGTACTATCTGTGTGCATGCACAATGGTTCTTGACAGCGCTAAATTCATGGGGGAGTGGCTCCTGTACCATGGATTTTTCGGTGTGGAGCATTTCTTTGTGTATGACAATGGCAGTGAAGATGGGCTTCAAGAATCCGTGGAAGAAGCTCAGGAGACTGGTCGTGCAAGAGGTTTTGAGTTCTCAACCACAATTCGCAGCTGGCCCTGGCTCAAGTCTCAGGAGGGCGGTTTTTCTCATTGTGCTCTTCAAGCCAAGAAGCTCTGCACGTGGGTCATGTTCGTAGATGTGGACGAGTTCGTCTTTCCAGCACGGATGTTGAAGAAAATTGAGTCACGGAAGCTCTTCACAGCTGGAAACCAGTATGCTTCTCTTCTCCGCAAGTTCGTGAAAGGTCTGGCTAAGAAACATGCTGCCGCAGCGATGGTCACAGGTAGAAACGATTCCTGTGAACAGGTTGGGCAGATTGCTCTGCCTTGCCTGATATTTGGCCCATCAGGTCACCAAGAGCATCCAGAGAGGGGAGTTGTTTCTGGGTACACGTGCAGGCTGGAGCTTCCTGATCGCCACAAGTCAGTTATCCTGACTGAAGCTTTAGGTCCTCCATTTCACAACGTGATACATCACTTCACGAGCTTGAAGCATCAGTACTGCACACTGAATGTGGGCCATACGCATGGAGCTATTTTCCACTACAAGTACCAGGCATGGCCCGAATTCAAGACCAAGTTCAGGAGAAGAGCTTCCACTTTTGTGGCTGACTGGATGCAGATGGATAGGTTGCAGTCCAAGGATCGAGTTCCTGACTTGGGTGTGGAGGCAATTGAGCCTGCTGATTGGAAGGATCGCTATTGTGAAACTGAAGATTACAGGCTGAAGAGGACTTCAACGCAAATTGCATCAGCCAATTCTCACTGGCGCTATGAGAATGCGTTTGCTGCAATGCGCCACATCTTTGGAAACTTGTTTGGTGCATCTGGACTTATCTGATTCTGTGCACTGTGAACAAATTTACATCGAGTTGGCTTAACTCCTTATTACGAGGATGCTGATGAATTCATTGCACTTCCATTCCCAACGGAATGCTTGGTCTGTATCCTCTGCTTTGCGTCCGGAATCCAGGCCAGAGCAGGGAGGAAGAGGCTTGTGCAATCACATCACCGACCAAACCGAATTACTTGGAGATCCCCCTCCAGGTCGGTCGGGCTCACAACTAGGCGCTACCACTTAGTTCGCTTCGGTTCGGTTCCGTGCCTTTTCCAGAGCTCGCGCTTTCGCTTCGGGCCGTACCGTGCTCCGCGGGAACGCGGAAGCATCAAAACGAAACCAGTTTCTTCCCCCTTTGCTGGCTCTGGCAGCTGCCAGTATTTCGAGCCCTGGCACAAATGCATGAGAGCACTTAGGTAATTGGTAGTGCTTCCTCGTTGGCACTTCACTACCCCGCCCCGCCGTAGGAGTGCTACTTCACCAGGACCTCGAGCAACGACCTGCGATTCTAGTTTTTTTATCACAACGGCACGTCGCTAAACCATGCTTTGAGACACCCCTAAAGAAGCAGCTCCAGAGTAGCATTAACGTGCTCCAGTATATTTATACGAACTGTGCTCAGTCAGGTCTCCAACTGTGTACACTGTCTTCCCCGTGGTAGCGCATTTGCTGCAACGCCTCGCAAATATCCGAACCACCAGCATAACTCAAATCTCCAGGCTTTACAACCTCTATCAAAACATCCGCATAGTATTGCCCGCGTAGTTGCCCCCTTTATCATCCACACAGCCTCGTCCGCGGAGGCTCACCGCGTAGCATCACCGCGAATGGCGCTGCTAGAGGGCGTGATCGCATTCGACAAGTCCGTCGCGTCGTTTCCGTGGACCAGCCGCGAAGCAGTCACCGATCTTTTCCGCGCGCAGCTGAGCGGACAGTCCGCGGATGCGCAGCTGAATGGATCATCCGCGGTGGAGGCGCAGTTGAGCAGACAACCCGCGGATAGCGTCGTATCGTCCGGCGCAACCGAGACGACAGAAAGCCTGGAACGTAGCGGAAGTGAACGCGACAAGAGCAACGGCACTACTATTGACAGCCCGAAAGATATGAACGGAGGTCAAGTCAAGGACGGCATCGGTAAAGTCGGAAGCAATGGTGGCATGGCGGGCGATAGTGAAGCGGTGGTGGAGTATTGGAGCGCGCAGATGGCGGGGCTGCTGGAGGATCTGCGCTCCGTGCGGATTGGCGGCGCTGCGGAGAAAACTGGCGGCGCTAAAGACACAGCTACGGGCCATGGAGCCAAGGACATGCGATGGAAGGTGATTGGCTGATTGACGGATGCGACTGGAGGGCAGATGAGTGCTGGCAGCGGGTTGTGGTAGGAGGAAAAGAAGAGCGGCGGCGGCCTTCACGTTCCCTTTCATGCCCTCCCTCGCCATCCTCTTTCTCCTGTACCACCCACGTCCCCCCATCCCCCTTCACCGCACCACCCAAAATTCCCTTGTTTCTCCTGCCTCGCCCCTCACGCTCCCTGTTCCAGCCGTGCGAGCAAGCAACAGAGTACCGCACGCTGCACCGCCCGGGGCCCAACGGCACGTCAATCCACTGTTTGACCCCTGCTTCCGATCCGTGGATTTATTCTCCTCACCCCCACCCACCACCCTTCAGCCGTGCGAGCAAGCAACAGAGTACCGCACGCTGCACCGCCCGGGGCCCAACGGCACGTCAATCCACTGTTTGACCCCTGCTTCCGATCCGTGGATTTATTCTCCTCACCCCCACCCACCACCCTTCAGCCGTGCGAGCAAGCAACAGAGTACCTCACGCTGCACCGCCCGGGGCCCAACGGCACGTCAATCCACTGTTTGACCCCTGCTTCCGATCCGTGGATTTATTCTCCTCACCCCCACCCACCACCCTTCAGCCGTGCGAGCAAGCAACAGAGTACCGCACGCGGCACCGGCCGGGGCCCAACGGCACAGCGATCCTACTTATACCTGCCTTCGATTCGCTGTTCCCACCTCTGCTTCATCCCTGTTTCCCATACATTCGCCCCACCCGCTCGTCCCAGCCGTGCGAGCAAGCAACAGAGTACCGCACGCTGCACCGCCCGGGGCCCAACGGCACGGCGGTCCACACGACGTGCATCGAGGGTGTTGTGCATGCTCCGGCGGATGCTGCCCTCGCCATGTCCTGCGACGCTCCCTTCTTCAAGGAGTGGTGAGTGCTCCGTGCTGTGCTGTGCCATGACACGAGTGGTGATTGCAATGAGTAGGGATTTGAACGGCTCCCGTTTAACGGCACGGCGGTCCACACGACGTGCATCGAGGGCGTCGTACACGCTCCGGCCGATGCTGCTCTCGCCATGTCCTGCGACGCTCCTTTCTTCAAGGAATGGTGAGTGGAATGATAGTGATTGAAGCGAGCTGACTTTTGAGTGGACTCGAAAGTCATGCCCCGGCCGATGCCGCTCTCGTGCCGTGTCATGTCATGCGATGCTCCCTTCTTCAAGGAGTGGTGCATGGAACGATAGTGATTGAAGCGAGCTGCCAAAAGAAAAATCTTGCCCCGGCCGATGCCGCTCTTGTGCCGTGTCATGTCATGCGATGCTCCCTTCTTTTCAAGGAGTGGCCAGTGCTTGCATTTAACGAGTGTTTTGAACAGTAGTGGCTGACATGAGCGGTTTTTTAAAGCATGACATGAGTCATGCTTTAAAAGGAGCATGCTTTAAAAGGATCATGCGCGTTGACACATCCACAAGATCCGCCTTCCCCACCCCCCCATCCCCCACCTTTCATCCCCACCTTTCTCACCCTTCCCGCCTCTCCCGCCCCTTCCGCCCTTGCGCAAGTGGCCAAGCATTATCATTTACATGAAAGACAGTGAGAGGAATAAGGAAGGGGGGAAGATTGGCATTGAAGCGGCAAAAGACGTAGTGTCACTCACTCTCTCCCACCTTGCAACCCCCTTCCCTCAGGTGGCCCAACAACACCCTCCCACCATGCCGCTGCACCGCTGTGAGGAGTCTAAATGTTCCGAACGAGAGTGGGAGGTGTGCGTCGAGGCGCCACCAACTGACCGGGCCTTTCATCCTGAATCTCGTTTCCCGCAGGTGACCCAACATCGGCATGCCGCCGCACCGCTGTGAGGAGCCGAGATACATCAAGCGCGTGAAGCAATGAGTGGAGGAGGCTTGTTTTTTATGCGCCACAAGCTAACCGTGTCTTTCATCCCGCAACTCCCCTCCCGCAACTCCCCTCCCGCAACTCCCCTCCCGCAACTCCCCTCCCGCAACTCCCCTCCCGCAACTCCCCTCCCGCAACTCCCCTCCCGCAACTCCCCTCCCGCAGGTGGCCGAACATCAACATGCCGTCCCACCGCTGTGAGGAGTCGAGGTATATCAAGCGCGTGGGGGAGAACTTCCACCTCTCCTTCATGCGGTGCGTGCCCCATGCCATGCTGTACTGTGCTGTACCGTGCTGTAGTGTGCTGTACCATGTCGTACCGTGCCGGACCATGTTGCACTGTACTGTGCTGTATCATGCTGTGCCATCCGCCTGGGGCGAAACTTCCACCTCTCTGATACGGTGCCCCTGTGATGTGCTTTTGAGTCGACTCAAAAGCAGACTCATTACAAAGCCGACCCCTGTAAAAGCAGACTCATTACAAAGCCGACCCCTGTAAAAGCAGACTCATTACAAAGCCAACCCCTGTAAAAGCAGACTCATTACAAAGCCGACCCCTGTAAAAGCAGACTCATTACAAAGCCGACCCCTGTAAAAGCAGACTCATTACAAAGCCGACCCCTGTAAAAGCAGACTCATTACAAAGCCGACCCCTGTAAAAGCAGACTCATTACAAAGCCGACCCCTGTAAAAGCAGACTCATTACACGCGGTTTCTCTCTGATACGGCGCCCCTGTGATGTGTCATACTGTGCTGTGTGTGCTGTACCCCGTGACAGCACATTGGTGGAGGCACCCACTACCAACGGGGTACACTGTGGCATACCGTGGCATACCGTGGCATACCGTGGCATACCGAGGCATACCGTGGCATACCACGGCATACCGTGGCATTATGCTCATCTCCCTTCTCCTGCCTCCCTTACTCCCCAAACCTGCCTCCCCCTCCGCACCACCTTCCTCCTCCTTCTCCCCTTCCTCTCTCGTCTCTCTCTCCCTCCTCCTCCCTCCTAGTCGCCCGTCCCACTATTCTCTCTCCTTAACGTCCCTCGTCTATTGCTTGATTTGGCTCTCCTTGGCCTCTCTCCCTTTCCACCATATCCCATCCCCTTCCACCCGTTTCCACTCCTTGCATTTCCGCCATTTCCCACCCCTTCACGCCGCTGCAGGTTCAAGGTGCCATGGCCGCTACCCCCGCAGGAGTTTGCGCTCATCTTTGTGACGGTCTACGATGCCGCTTCGGGCATGACCGTCACCGTGCTGCGAACGGTGAGTCTTCCACACCCCCCGTGCCCTCCCTTGTGTTGCCTAAGGACCCTTCAGGCACTTCGTAAGGCAGTCATTTTACATAACGACCCCCCTCTCTCCCTGCAGCTGCCTTTTGAGGCGCCTCAAAAATGACCCCCCTCTCTCCCTGCAGCTGCCCAAGAGCCCCGCGACTGCTGGCTTCACCAACTGTGGGTACAGCCGGGCGGGAGGACCCTTTTCATGACTGATGCAACAATCGCTTACTGTACCCTGCAACCTTTCAAATGTGCGCCACTCCCCTCACTGCAGCTGCCTGAGACCCCCGCCACTGCAGGCTTCACCAACCGCGGGTACAGCCGGGAGGACCCTTCATCTGTCTCCTCAAGCGATATCTTTCACAAGCAACCTTTGACTGACCCAGCAACGTTTCACACCACCCCCCCCCAACCCTTCCCCCCCTCCCCCGCCCCAAATTTTCTTGCAGCTGCCCGAGAACCCCGCCACTGCGGATTTCACCAACCACGGGTACAGCCGGGAGGACGCCCCTGCCCCCCTGCCTCTTACCTCAAACCTGTGCCTCACCTCTCGCCCTCCCTCCTCTCCTTCCAGCTGCCTGAGAACCCCGCCACTGCGGATTTCACCAACCACGGGTACAGCCGGGAGGACGCCCCTGCGCCCCTGCCTGGACACATGCGCATGGGCATCAGCGGGGGGTATGCTGTGAAGGACATGGGCGAGGGGCGAGCGCACATGAGGTGCGTTGGGCGGATGGGGGACAAGGGGGAGTGAGTGGGGAGAAGAATTCCCTGCCAGGGCACATGCGCATGGGCATCAGCGGGGGGTATGCTGTGAAGGACATGGGTGAAGGCAGTGCACACATGAGGTGCGTTGAGGGGGAGAAGGGGGAGTGGGGGGCAGGGGCCCAGGGGGGGTAAGGTGTGGTTAGAGGACAACACTGCCTGGGCACATGCGCATGGGCATCAGCGGGGGGTATGCTGTGAAGGACATGGGTGAAGGCAGGGCGCACATGAGGTGTGTTGGGTTGGGCAAGGGGACAAGGGGGGAGGGGGGTGGGTGGTTGGTAGGGGGGGCAAGGTGTGGCGTGAAGACGCCAGTGTCTGGAGTCATGCCCATGGGCATCTGCGGGGGGAACATTACGCTGTCAAACACATGGGCGAGGGCTGAGCGCACATGAGGTGCGTTTGGTGGGGGGGGGCGGGGGGGGGGGGGGGGGGGGGGGGGACAAGGGGGAGGATGAGAGGTAGGGTGGGAGTTAAGATGTACCGTGAGGTGCATTTGGTGGTGACCTAGGGGGGTCGGTTGTAAGGGGCAAGTTGTGAGGTGAGGATGGGGGGGGGGGGGGGAGATGGGAGAGCGGCGAGCATGCAATCGTGTGAACGTTGTGGGCGTGCATGGTTTTTAAACACCTGCAACGTTCACATGATTGCATCACCTGCGTCATTCTCTTACATAATTGCATCACCTTCATCCATGTCTTTCCCATATCTACCCTTCTGCAGCGCTGGAGCCTCTTCAAGCCATAATGGATGCCCTCAATGCTATGCCTAGTCTCACTCCTGAGGCCGTATCAACCCTCTGTACCGCTTAACACCCCTGTGTATCCCATCCCACAGGTGCATGTTCACGCTGGACCTCAAATTCCCTCCTGCGCTCGTCAACTTTATTATCCAGCAGTGTGGTGGAATCTTGTACCAGTGGTTTACAGAGGTGTGTAGAGTGGGTTTACTGGTGTGGTGTGTAGAGTGGGTTTACTGGTGTGGTGTGTAGAGTGGGTTTACTGGTGTGGTGTGTAGAGTGGGTTTACTGGTGTGCAAAGTGGTTTACAGAGGTGTGTAGAGTGGGTTTACTGGTGTGCGAAGTGGTTTACAGAGGTGTGTAGAGTGGGTTTACTGGTGTGGTGTGTAGAGTGGGTTTACTGGTGTGCAAAGTGGTTTACAGAGGTGTGTAGAGTGGGTTTACTGGTGTGCAAAGTGGTTTACAGGGGTGTGTAGAGTGGGTTTACTTGTGTGCAAAGTAGTTTACAGAGGTGTGTAGAGTGGGTTTACTTGTGTGCAAAGTAGTTTACAGAGGTGTGTAGAGTGGGTTTTTCTGGTGTGCAAAGTGGTTTACAGAGGTGGTTTACTGGTGTGCAAAGTGGTTCACAAAGGGCTGTGAAGTGATTCACAGAGATGTGTGGAGTATTTTGCAGAAGTGTGGAGTGGTTCACAGAGGTGTTTAACGTGGTTTGCAAAGGTGGGCAGAGTGGTCTGCAGAGTGTATAGAGCCTCTTGCATAGTTTAGAATGGTTCAAAGACGTGTAGAGTGGTTGTAAGGGGTGTGTGGAGTGGTTGGCAGAGGTCTATAGATTGGTTCACGGAGGTTCGCATCGTCTGTCTCCGCCTGTGGGAGTGTGTTGTGGTGGTTTGCTGAAGCAAAATATTGTTCAAGTTAATGCAGCCTTTGGAAATGCACCATATTCCTTCCTCCCCTGTGTCTCTCTTCCCCTTTCCCCCTCTCTCCCTCTCCCCTTCTCCCCCTCTCTCCCTCTTCCCCTCGCACCCTCCCTTGTCAGGAGCTGGCGCGGATATACGACGACCCCTCCAGCACCAAAGGGAAGGCGTTCCGCCAGGCTCTCCACGACGAGCCCCTTTACAATCACGTCCGGGCAGCCATGGAGAAATACCGGGCTGCCCGGGCAGCTGAACAGCAGCAACTGGAGGCCGAGCAGCAGCGGAAGCACCAGGAACTGGTGGGCGGTCAGCAAAACGGGCAGGCAGCTGGGGAAAGGATCCTTCTAGCCAGCAAAGAAGACGAGGAGAATTCGTTCAGAGAGTTAGGGGCAGAGGTAGAGGCGAAAATCGAGTCTCTTGTGGCATATGTGTCTAGAAGAGCGAGCAGCAATGGCAGCATTGATGGGGATGGGGTGGAGATAGTTGAGGGTGGGGAATGGGGGTGTGTGGAGGTAAGACCAGGGGGAAAGGACATGGGGGTTGGGGAGGTGAAGGCAAGTGATAATATGGAGGGACTGCAGATGGATGGAGGAAGTCAAAAGGGTGGTCTTGAGACGGGGGTAGGAGCAGCAGGAGGAGATGGAGGGGCAGGAGGAGGAGCAGGAGGAGCAGGGGAGAATGTGGAGACGGAGGCAGGGGGGGCTGTAAGCAGTGCTGCAGTGACTGCTGGGCTGCATCAAGGCCCACTTCCTGATTTGCCGCACCATAGTGTCAATGTACAGAAGGTGACTGTAGGGAGAGGTTCTACAGTACTCCAGACTCATGAGCAGAGGCATACACAGAATGGTCGATACGGGCTGAGAGCATCAAGGGACTATGGTACCGGTAGCAATGGACATATGGCAGGTGCAAGCGACCACCGTCTCTTCCGAGCCGTTGATACGCTGGATCGCGCCATTGCAGCCCTCCGTTTGCTGCACTCTGCATCCCCCACAGCAGCACCAGCAGCAACAGTGGCAGCAGTTGGTGCTGCTGGCATCTATAGCCCAGCGAACAACGAAAGAGGAGGAACCGCAACAGCAGCAGCCACCGCCACAGCCACAGCAGCAGCGGCGGCAGGAGAATCAGCCGCACATGGTGACTGTGCCAGGGGGCGGCAGGAAAGCAGTGGCGAAGCAGGCGGAAAGGGCGGGGCAGATGGGGGACTAATCCCCCCCCAGAAACAGCAGGCTGACCATGTACCCCAGAAGCACCAGAAACTGCTGCTGCAGGAGCAGCACAAGAGTGGATGGGGAAGGTTGCGAAAGGCTTTGGCAGCACTACGGAAGAAAGGCTGACTGCCAGTGGGATATCTGGTGGTCACCCGTCTTTTATATATCATGGCACAATGCTCAAACACTGGTAAGTGCTGCCATTCCCTGCACAGGGGTACTGAAAATATGGGCAGGGAGGGAGGCATTGTGGCGTGCGTTTTACTAGTATTTACTAGTACGGTATGGTTTGGAGCATGTCGGTTGAATGTCCTACGTATGTAAGAGCTATCTAAGAATGTTGTAATGCCCGAATCCACCTGAAGCAAGCACCCTTAGCTGGAGTTCTGGACATACGGTAGGCTGTTAGAAGGGTTGTATCAGTTGAGGGCATGAGATGACATACCATGGGAAAGTATGCCACGGGGAAAAGATAGTTTGCTCGAGGAGGAAATGGATAGGAATGGATAGGAATTGAAGCGATGTGATGAGTTATCATGGGCCAGGACAGTAGGGAGCATGGGATGGGGAGGAGAGAAGGGAGCATCTAGGACAATGGGGAGGGGAGTATGGGAATGGGGACAGTGGAGCATGGAAAATTAGGAAAGTGCGAAGGATAGACGTGTGCAGATAGAACATCAAATGCACAGTACCATTTTCAGAGCTTCTTTGATTTGAAAAAGCTATGAAGTATATTGAGAAGTGTTTGGCGCAGTACGTCAAGAAGACAAAGTGCAGATTTAATGCAGTAATACACTCACTGACAACATTTACATGAATACTCATGCTATTCATGCATTATTACCCTCTCCCTCTCCTGTGACCCTTCCTGTTGTAACCCACCCCTCAAACTTCATATTTTAAGCCGGTAGTCACCCTATAGAGGAGGTCTAAATGGTTTGGGCGAGCTGGCACTCGGTGGTGTTGGTCATGGAGTAGCTGTTGCCGTTGCCAAAGCGCAGCTCCTGCACGCAGGGCCGGAAGTCCCACAAGTACGCATACACAATGTTGACCGTCTCCCCGGGGAGCATCTGCAGAGTGCCGCTAGCACCGCGGTTCATGCGCATCTCACAGTACCCCGGCGTCGTCTGCACAAAGATTTCACCTTGCTGGTACTGCGAGGGGTTGGGATCGGGGTTGTCAAGGATGCCCTCCCACACGTTGCCGAAGTTGAAGCACTGCCACACGCGCAGCGGGCTGGTGACGTTGTAGGCGCAGCCGTTGTAGAAGGTCATGTTGTAGATGTCGTTGTGCAGGTCGTACGGCCCCAGGTACTGCGAGCGGATCGTCACCGTCGTGCGCCCACATGCTGTGGGGGAGGAGAGGGCAGAAGGGAAAGGTGAAGGGGAAGAGGTGAGTGGGGAGCAGAGGAATGAGCAGGGGAGCAGAAGGATGAGAGGCAAGGGGAGTAGAGAAATAAGGGGCAAGGGGAGCAGAGAAATGAGAGCCTAGGGGAGAAGGGATGGCAGTGGGACGAAGCGGAAAGAGAGCGAGAGGAGGGAGCAGCAGTGCGTACAGGTGGCAAGGGCCTGGCGGCGGGGGATATGGTCGAGGTAGCCAGGCAGAGGGGCGTTGTGAGCGAAGGTCTCAGCCGCCAGAATGCGCGCGCCCTTCCTCTGCTGCCCCGCCGCCCCCGCCCCGCTAGGCGCGCCCCCGTCCGATGGGACGAGGCCCCTGGCGACCTTCATGGCGTCCCGCGCTCCACTCACCGCCGCCGCCAGCAGCCCCACCGCCAGCGCCGCCAGCACCAGCACGCGCATGCCCGCCGTCGCCATGAGGAGAGGCGCGGAGATAACAGGAAAGAAGTGAGAAGCGAGAGGGGCTTGATGCGGCGAGCGGATTGGTTAGTGAGATGCTTAGAGGGAGCACTGGGCGAGCTGATGACTTCATGGTAGCCATTATGGCCGCTTTATAGGTCGCGCTAGACCACGAGATGCGGTGCGTGGATGATGCTAAGGGAGGGTTTCTCTCCTCTGGCATGGAGGAGGAATCGCCCTTTCTGCTGCTGCAGCTGCAGCTGCTGCTAAGGAATCATCACTGCAGCGGTAACGGAGGAGTTGAGGGGTCAGGACGGCACGGCAACATTCACTGTCGATTGCTATGCTGCATACAGGAATCGTTTCTCTCACTGCTGGCGTGATGTCGTAACCAAACGCGGTGTCCAACGGAGCACGGAATATGCGGCTCGGCGGACACGCCTACTACTATCGTCGCTAAACGAACACCAGGTCGAGGCAACACTGAGAACATGAGATGTTTTTCGAGCGATTCGAAGTTCTGAAAACACGGCGACTCGATCTCCAGACATGTTGTAATTCAGGCGAGAAATTCCGTCTGCCCGGTGGTTAAGCGAAACGACGGCGTTAACCGCCACCCAGATCAGAGTTCCTTCTTTCGACCTCCTGGGTTCCATATCAGGCTCGACGTCTCGCGTCCTGTGTCCTGGCTCTCGACCTCACAACCCCCCTCGTCTCGGTACTTGCGAGCCAAATGTCGGAGAAGCGGAGCGGCATAGACAGTTGGAAAGCACGCCGCGCGTCTAACGACAAGCAGCAGCCGGGTCGCGTCCAACATTAGCGTTTGCAACCAGATAACCTTGTCTACCCTACAGTCTGGTACAACGAATTGCGCAGCTGACGAGCTTGTCGGGATTTTCAAGGCATTTGTCGCCTGTGCACAGAACGCACGGACGAATAACAGAGGGAGAATTGAGGAAGAGAAAATAGCAGCAGGTAGGCACTTGACTCGCCTGAATCCTGATATTTCTCGACCGTTGGTGTTCCTCAGGGTTTTCGCGAATACGGTTGTTGCCACCACGCCGCGTGTGTGCGATGAGTGCAAATCAAACTAGCACCGCTGACGATGCCGCGTCAGTAACCACACGACAATTTTGTTCGTTACGCGGTATTAGTGTGGATTAGAAAAAGTTCGCCGGCTTTCGCCAAGCTGGAGAAACTGACATCGACATCGTCTATCGCAAGTCTTTCGCAGTCCTTGTGTGCAACCGACACAGTACATTTGAAGGAAACTCGAGTTTCGTCATGTTTGCCTGAACCATTTGAATTGCTCGTCAACTCCATTGTCCAGGTGTGCTGTTACGAGTGCAATTGAGTGAACGAACGAGAATTGCACTATCGAAGCAGGAGTACAAAATGAGCGAAGGCATGAGCGAAGGATTATATAGCGAAGCAATAGTGGTAACGGTAATGGACTGTGGTTGTCGCGCGACGAGCCTGGGACTGAGGTTGGGAAAGTGTCGAAGCGTAGGCCCGGAGCGCGGGTTACCAGCCGAGCCGTGAGGTCGGGATGCGATGTGCGAGAAGGGCGGGATGATGAATGATGCGATGGTCGCGAGTGGTAACGGTGCTGACTGAGGTGCTACAGTGATGTACGCGTTGAGCAGGGACGCGAAGTAAGGAAAAGGGAATTTCCTTACACTACCCCCCTCCCCAAGGAGGCCCCTCTTACGAGAGCGCATGGACGTCGCGGAAATTTCGGCTTCGCAGATACTCGGTGAAGACAGGGTGGTTCTCAATTTTATCCAGGGGGACCCAGTTGTCTTCTGTGGGCGTTCGATCCTTCCAGCGAATTAGGAATTCGATCCGTCGTGCTCCCCGAGGGTTGCGGACTCGGTGGCTGAGGATTTTTTCAGGGGTGATTAGTGGTTCGGTTGGGGGACGTGTCATGCTGGCTGGGCGATTTCGTGGCAGTTGGCTCGTGGATGGTATGTAAGGGCGAAGTAGGCTGACGTGGAATGACGGGCTGACGTACCAGTCAGCAGGGAGGAGGAGGTGGGCGGTGACGGGTGTGATCATGTGGCTGATGCGAAATGGCCCACAATATCGGGGGCGAAGTTTTGGAGTGATGGGCAGGCGGAGGTTCTGGGTATCGAGTAGTACCAGGTCGTCTGGCTGGTAAGTGACAGGTCGACGGTGGCGATCGGCGTTTCGTTTAGCGATGATGTTGGCTTTTTTAATTGCGTCTGCTGCCCTGGTCCGTGCTGTTTGCAAAATCTCGGCGAACTGTTGGGCTCGTGGGACTGGATTGTCGGGGTGTGGGGTCATGGGTACTGTTGGGTCCTGTCCGTAGTTCAGGTAAAACGGGGACTGTTGCGTCGTGGCTGATGGTGCGTTGTTGTACGCGAACTCGATGAGCGGCAGCTGATGTTCCCACGTGTTCGGATCGTCGCACGTGGCTCGAATCAGCTGCTCCATGGTTTGGTTTGTCCGTTCCGTCTGTCCGTCGGTTTCGGGGTGATAGGATGAACTGAATTGAAGTCGTGTGCCGAACTGCTGCCACAGGTTCCGCCAGAAGTTGCTGGTGAATTTCGTGTCGCGGTCGCTGATGATTGCCGATGGTATCCCGTGGAGGCGAACGACGGTGGTGATGAAGAGGCGGGCTGTTTCTTCGGCTGTGATTGATTTCTTGCATGCTGCAAAATGTGCCATCTTCGTCAGTCGATCGACGGCGACCAAGATCGCGTCGTTCCCACTCGCCCCGGCCGGTAACCCCGTGACGAAGTCCATCGTCACCTGCTGCCAAGCACGCTCTGGGGGTGGGATCGGCTGCAACTGTCCTGCCGGCCGCTTCCGTGATGATTTCATGACCTGGCAGGTGGGACACGATGCTACGTGTCGTTGGATGTCGGTCAACATTTCTGGCCAGTAACAATACCGCTGCAGCTGCTGTCGTGTTTTTTCTACCCCGAAATGTCCTGAGGTAACTCCGTCGTGTGCCTCTTGTAACAGTAATTCCCGTAGTAGTGTATACCCGGGTACCCAAATGCGGTCGGTCCCAACCTTTACGTAATAGATCCCTCGTGCTGCTGCGAACTGCTGCGAGTTGCCTCCTGTAAAGAACGGGTCGGTTTGGTATCCGTGGGTAAATAGGCCTGTCAGCAGTGGGCTGGTCTGGGCGAGTAGTATCGCGTGAATCTGGGCAGTAGGGCGAGTCAGTGCATCGGCGATATTTGATGCTCCTTTTTTGTAGGTGACCGTGTAGTGAAAATTCGACTCGAGGAAATCGAGCCATCGAATCTGTCGTGGGTTGAGGTGAGGCTGTGCGCGGAGGTACTGTAGAGATTTGTGGTCTGTCCGTACTGTCACGTCTGCGCCGGTCAAGTAACAGCGCCACACTTTGAACGCATGCACGATCGCAAGCATTTCGCGATCGTGTATCGGGTAATTCTTCTCAGGTGGGTGCAGTTTTCGTGATTCGTATGCGATGGGCTGTAGGCCGTTCCCGAAATCCTGTAACAGTACGGCTCCGATGGCGATGTCGCTTGCGTCAGTAATGACTTCGAATGGGCGGTGTGGGTCGGCAATGCGCAGGACAGGTGGTGAACAGAGAACAGTTTTCAGGGTAGAGAAGGCAGCATGCTCTTTCTCCCCCCACGTAAAAGCGACCCCTTTCCGCAGCAGATCCGTCAGTGGGGCAGTTAAGCGGGCCATGTCAGGCACGAATCGACGGACATAATTAACGAAACCCAAAAAACTCTGCAGCTCCGTGATGTTTGTCGGGGGTTGCCAAGCGTTGACCGTATCCAGCTTTCTCGGGTCAATCTCAACCCCAGCCTCTGAAATAACGTGCCCCAAAAATTCTAACCTATCCCGAAAAAACTCGCACTTAGACCCCTTAGTCAATAAACGATGCTCCTCGAGAATTTTAAACACTGCTTCCAGGTCCGCTAAATGCTGCTGCTTATCGCGACTGTAGACGAGAATGTCGTCGAGGTAGACGATCACGCACTTATCTAAAAGTGGTCTAAACGCCTCGTTCATGGTCATCTGGAATGTTGCGGGTGCGTTGGTTAGCCCGAAAGGCATCACGGTGTACTCGAACGACCCGTACCTAGTTCTAAAAGCTGTCTTTGCGCAGTCCGATGGTTCGACTCTAATTTGGTGGTAACCTCCCCGTAGATCTATTTTCGAGAACACCCGTGCTGTTCGCAGTTGGTCGATCAGTTCGTCGGCGCGGGGAATGGGGTATCGTGACTTTATTGTAACCCTGTTGAGCGCTCGGTAATCGATGCACATGCGAAAACCTCCGTCTTTTTTTGGTGTGAATAGTATCGGTGCGGCGAACGGCGACGAGCTCGGTCGGATAAACTGCTTTGCTAACAGGTAATCTAGCTGCTTCCTCAGTTCGTCGAGCTCCGGCTGTGTCAGTCTGAACTGGCGCTGTACAGTTGGCTGTGCCCCCGGCTCTAACTCTATCCTATGGTCGTGCGCCCGCTGAGGTGGCAGTCCTTCCGGTAAGTCGTCGGGGAAAATTCCCGGGTACCGTTTCAATAGCTCTTGTAGCTCCGGCGGTACCGCTGTCAGCAATTTTTGGAAATCACTCGGCTGCTCATCTTTTTCTACCACTGCGATGTCTACTGCATACACGTCAGCTCCAGCGGCGACTGCTCGTTTCATTGTGATGGCGTTGACGTGGACCGTCGATGACTCAGGCGACTGCCAGCGTGGTAGTTCGACCCAGTTACCACTACTTCGCACAGTGCAGCTGCCCGTCGTCCAGTCGATTCTCGGATTGTAACGTCGCAACCAATCACGTCCCAATAAAATGTCGTGCCCATCCAGTGTCGTCGCGAGCATTTCCTGTGTAAACCCGAAGTTTCCCCCGCAGCGAACTTTTACTCTCTCCACCTTCTCCCGTATGGCCAGCGGCGTGCCGTCGACTAAGCGCGCATCAATCTCAGGTAAACATCGGCTAAGTGTCAGTTGAAGTGTTCGTGCGGTTGCGGTATTAACTAAACTGTGGCTAGCTCCTCCGTCGATGAAAATCTTGACTGCTGCTCCCTGTATTTTCCCGTGGATCAGTACTGGGCAATCCGTCGCTGTACCCTCCTTATTCATCCGAGCCCGATCGATGGCATGAATCGGTACTGTGACTCGGTGAGGGTCGGTGTGGTTGGGCGAGCAGGCAGTCTCGTCAGTAGTTGGCCCAATTTCTACTGACTGCTGGCGTTTCCCTGCCTCTGAGACTCCCTCCCCTGCTCTGCTCCTCGACGCCTCAGCTCTTCTGGACATTCGCTCTTGCGATGGCCCGGCCGGTTGCAAGCAAAGCAGCGCCCTCTAAATGGCGTGGCAGCTGCATTCGTTGCGACGGCATGTACGGTGGCGTGCTCGATCAGTCCCCGAGGACGATGTCCGAAATAGGACCCCGGTCTCGGTCGGCGTAGGATATCGATTTTCTCGGCGAGCGCGAGGATTTCGTTGAAATTCGATAGCCCGCGTAGCATTATCTCGTGCGATATGTCCGGCTTCAGTCCGCCGACGTAACGGTCCACCCGCTCCGCCTCGTGCATGTAGCCGACCTGTTCGCAAAGTGCGAGAAAACCGCTGGTGTAGTCTTGGACCGACCCGAGCTGGCGCCAAGTGCGCAGTTTCTGACGCGCCGAAATAGAAGCCGCGATCGGCTCAAAACGCGCCCGAAGCCCTGCGCACCACGCATCCCACGTGCTATATTGGGCTGTTTCGCAGAACGAACTCCAGGTGACAGCTGGACCCGAGGGCCCTTCCTCGTGCGGCGGTGGCTCGTAGGCGCGTGGCGATGTCACGATGACTCGCCACCAGTCCATGGCGGGGCCCCTGAGTAGTGAAACTGCATACCGAATCTTGGCGGCGTCCGACTCGACGTAGTTGGCGTCGAAAAACACGTTCATCGTGAAGACCCACGATTGAACTGTCGGGCCACCGCGTTGGCTTGGGTCGAAGCAGGGCGGGCGTTGCGGCTTGAGTGGCATTGGGGCCATCGTGGCGTTCCCTCCACTTGTCATCGCAAACTCCACGTGCCGACGGGCTTCTCGGGGCTCCCGTGGGCTTGATGCATTCCTGTTCCCTCCCATGCCGGGCATCGGTTGGGCTGCGCCGTCACTGGCTGCGCCTGAGCGCTGTCCCGTGCTGTTGTTTTGCGTTGGTGTGCCGGATGAGATAACAATCGGCTCCTCCGAATGGACAGAAACATTGGTTGGCGCTTGGGAAGTTGTCGGAGCGTTCACCGTTGACTGTTGACGGGCGGAGTCACGTTCCGCCGTGAGTGTCGCGATTTCGAGCGCTGATTCCTCCAGCTGTCGCACGAGACGATCGAGTTGCTCCTGCGTCAACGTGGCGATAGTGAAATCAGCCATGGCAGGGGTGTCGGGCAAGCTCAGCGAGAGCCTCAGTCGTGGCCGTGCGTGCTTCCGAGAGAGCACTACGAGCGGCGGTGCTGTATCGCTGAGAGACGTCTACCCCCCCCAAAAATTGAGATAGTGGGAAGCGAAGGTGTGGATGCGGTCCGAGATGAGATCGTAGGCTCTGAATACCAAGTGTTACGAGTGCAATTGAGTGAACGAACGAGAATTGCACTATCGAAGCAGGAGTACAAAATGAGCGAAGGCATGAGCGAAGGATTATATAGCGAAGCAATAGTGGTAACGGTAATGGACTGTGGTTGTCGCGCGACGAGCCTGGGACTGAGGTTGGGAAAGTGTCGAAGCGTAGGCCCGGAGCGCGGGTTACCAGCCGAGCCGTGAGGTCGGGATGCGATGTGCGAGAAGGGCGGGATGATGAATGATGCGATGGTCGCGAGTGGTAACGGTGCTGACTGAGGTGCTACAGTGATGTACGCGTTGAGCAGGGACGCGAAGTAAGGAAAAGGGAATTTCCTTACATGTGCTCATAACATTCCATCAACCAATAGCCCTAGGCCTCAACATTTCTCAAGTGGGGTAGGTTTAGCGACCAATTGCACTTGGAGCATATTCAAGTCAAATTATACAGGAGATGGTAAACCAAATTCCACACCATGGCTTCTCCCACAGCCCCCAGATACCTCCCATCCGTTTCCGTACTATTCTTGCCTTTCGCAGATTCAGCAAAGCAGGTGTGGTGCGGATCCTTCGGCCCGCATGTATCGTCGGGGCGAGGAGCTGCGATCAGCCAATCATTGAGAAGCTGCAGCCCGTACCGTCCCAAGTGCCTGGCAACAACTCTGTTCATGTGTGTAATGAGTGTGTTTGTTCCATCGAAACAAAAGTCATTGAGCCGTTTTGGAGGGATGCTTCGAAACAGAAACCTAGGGCCCGCCCTGGCGGGCAGCGTTAAAGCTTGATTTCCCTGCAGCTTCTTCTGCTGCTGCTGCTGCTGCTGCGGCTGCCGCTGCGCCTGCATGGCTAGTTCCTTCTGAGAGTAAACCCACTGCAGGTAGTTGGGGAGATAATACCCCAACGCGTTCTCCGGCTCGGCGCAGAAAACCGTCATCCAGAAACCACCATCTACAAGCGTCACACTGGCTGTCGTGGAAATGTTTGGAAACGTGAGCTGTTCAAATGACGTTACATTCTTATAGCTGCACGGTGATTACAGCGAAGGGAAGAGAAACAGGAAAGATGGGAAGGAACGTGGAGTGTGTTTACTTCCCCAACCTCTGAGAGGATGGAAAATGGAGTGTGTTTACTCCACTGAGAAGGGGCCTTGAACTCTCTGAGACTGATCCACATGGGGGATGAAGGTGCAACGGCAGCAAATGCACAGAGAGCTGAACGCCACGAAACGAAGGGATGAAAAGCATGGACTAGAATAGTTTAAAGAAACAAAAAAGAGAAGGAAATAAGAAAGAAGACAAGCTGTGCTCCCACAATGCACCTGCAGCCAAAAGGCCCGTCGATGTAAATCCCTCCGATCCAATAAAAGTTGAGCGTCAGAGGCTGCAATTCTGGGCTAGGGGGCGGCACGACCAACTGGTGATATTCATGGAGCTTGACAGCCGATGCATTGGCCTTGCCGGTGAGGAGGAAGAAGAGGTGGTGGCAGAGGAAGCGCACATGAGAATCCCCGACAAAGTTAATCTCGGAAATACCCCGGGATTGGAGGGCGGAGAGCCACTGAGAGGTGGGGGGGAGGGGATGCGCGCATGGGTAGAATTGCCACTTGTAGGCCCGCTTCTGTGCGTTGAACAGCCACCGGCCGTGGATGGCATGGTCGCACTGCGAATCTGGACCATACGTTGCATCGAGGGAGGATCTGTTGCTGGGTTGGGACTCTGTGGTAGAAGCTGGTTCTAGTTCGGTAGCTGGTTCAGTGGATTGGTTGGTAACTGATTTGGTGGATGGTTCTGTAGCAGGCTCAGTAGATGGTTTGAGAGCTGGTTCGGTGGATGGTTTGGTGGGAGGGAGGACAGTGAGAACCCATTCGGCCATGACATGCGATTTTTTTTTACGGACCCGACGCAAGTAGTCTGACGCAAAGTCCAGAGTGTCGCACTCTGATTGGACGAGGACACTGGTTGATTTGGGGATGGTGAGGAGGAAGGGGAGCAAAACGAAGGAAGGGCATATGGGCTTATCAGGTGTGAGCACGTGAAGGATAGGACTGAAGTGTGGAGAGAGGGTTGGGGAGAGAACGGAATAAGGAGCAAGGACTACCCATTTCCTCTCTCCCTCTTTACCCCATTCGCTCCCTCCCCATTCCCCCCATCTCCTCACTCCCCGTATCCCCATTCTCCTCTTTTCATTTACCGCCAGTTGCCTCCCTCCACATTCCCTGCCCCCTCCTTCCTTCCCCTCTCCTCCCCCCCTCCCCCTCCCCACCCCCCCAACCACCTTCTTATATGTGAGTCCCCTTTGCTCATTCCCTCTCCTCGCCCCACCCTCCTTCTCCCGCCCTCCCCCTCCTCCCCCTCCCCCCCCCCTCCCCCTCCCCCTCCCCCTCCCCCTCCCCCTCCGCGCAAGCCTCACCTGTAGTCACCAGCGTCCCACACGCGGTACGTGACTCGCCAGCGCGTGACGTCACCGTCCTCTGTAGTCACATCCGCTATAGCCAAGGCGGGGCCCATCAGCCTCACCACCAGCGACTCGCGCAAGCCACCCATACTTATCCGCGCGCTGTTGCTGCTGCTGCTGCCGGCGCCACCACCTTTATAATTCTTCCACCACGCAATTTTGTCTTGTGCTATTGGAGTCAGTCGGCCGTTAGGAGGAGGGACCCATCTGGCGGGAGGTCTGACAGCGATCTCGAACGCGCAAAGCTCGCCCACCGTGCAACGGGAGCAACCCCCGCCGAAAATCAAAACTCCTCCCCTCTGTCGCTCTCGAAAGGTTTCCCCCGCGTTCCCCGCCTGCACGCTACCATTCTGCAGCGAGTCGCCATGATTCAATTCTTTCACGCCGTTGGTTCCCGACGCGTCGTTCCCGCTGTAACCGCCATGGTCCCCGGACCACCAGCAAATCGAATCGTATCCTACCAAATTTTCTGGAACTTGGCATTCCTCCTGGTTCGTGGCCACGTCAGCAGTTGAGTTACCTTCTTTCGCGTTCAGTGACGATTCGCCGGATAGGTTTGCCGCGCCGTGCCAAAGGTGGAGGCTTGGTGGGTCAGTGTACAGCGTATACGGGTCTATGAAGATGCTGTAGAATAGTAACGGAACCACCGCTATCACGAATAGCGCTAGCAAGACCACACAAGGTAGCCACGACTGTTTCGAGTCATGAGCTAAGAACACTGCCATGGGGGGCCTTCGTCCGACGAAATAGCAGCCAACTTGAAATCAATCATCTCGTGAGAGTCGAGATAAACCTCACGATATCATATTTGAGATCGTACGGTCCTGGATTATAATCCATTTCGGCTCTTGATCAATTCTCTACTCTCTAGGGTGCTGCGATTTGAAGCCTACGGTCGGCCCTAGTAGAAGGCTGCTCGCACAAGGTTGCTGAAGCAAATTTGCAGGGTCGATGGATACTTGCATTGCAAGCACGCACGCACGATCCCTCGGGAAGGCCGCCAGTGGCTGTGGCTAGGAAATAACTTTCTGCAGAGCTCCCTTGCGGTGGAGCAGCAGCAGCAGCAGCAGTAACTTTTGGATTTACTGTACTCCTTTCCGGTCCGCGGAAACTTTTGGCACAAACAAACGCCCTTCCCACCCACCGCTCTGTGCACGGTGCTCAGCACCGGGACAGATTTGCAGGGAATGTTGCGGTCCCAAAAATGTCCCACGCCCAATCATTTCCCTCCGCCCCAAACTTGAGACGTTTTCAAATGCTGGCGAAAATTAGGGCGTGTAACCGTTAAGCTTTTTTATGGTTACACGCCCTAATACTGTGTCGCGAATATCGCTGCGCGATGGGAGGGGATGCTCTGCTCGCGATGCTATGGTATCGTGGGATCCTAATCCAGGTCCGTCGTGACATATTCTCGATTCTCACGAGATGATTGGTCTCAAGCTGACGACTATTTTGTCGGACGAAGCCTCGTCATGGCAGCTTCCTTAGCTCATGAGTCGAAACACTCTTGGCTTGTACCTTGTGCGGTCTTGCTAGCGCTATTCGCGATAGCGGTAGTTCCGTTACTATTCTACAGCATCTTCATAGACCCGTATACGCTGTACACTGACCCACCAAGCCCCCACCTTTGGCGCGGCGCGCTTTCCGCGGCAAACCAATCCAGCGAACCGTCACTGAACGCGAAAGAACAGGGTAACGCAATTGGCGCTGACGTGGCCACGAACCAGGAGAAATGCCAAGTTCCGGAAAATCCACTAGGATACGATCCGATTTGCTGGTGGTCCGGAGACCATGGCGGGTACAGCGGAACCAATGGCGTGAAAGAATTGAATCATGGCGACACGCTGCAGAATGGTTCAACGCAGCAGAATGGTAGCGTGCAGGCAGGGAACGCGGAGGATACTATCAGGCAACGACAAACGGGAGGAGTTTTGATTTTTGGCGGGGGGTGCTCCCGTTGCACGGTGGGCGAGCTTTGCGCGTTCGAGATCGCCGTTAGACCTCCTGCCAAATGGGTACCTCATAAAGCCCGGCTGAGCCAGATCGCACAAGGCAAAAAGGCGTGGACCATGAGACATACAGGCGGCGGCGGCGGCGGCGGCAGCAGCAGCGGCGCGCGGATAGGTATGGGTGGGATGCTCGAGTCGCTGGTGGTGAGGCTGATGGGGCCCGCGTTGGTTATAGCGGATGTGACTACAGAGGACGGTGACGTCACGCGCTGGCGAGTCATGTACCGCGTGTGGGATGCTGGTGTCTACAGGTGAGGCTTGCGCGGAGGGGGAGGGGGAGGGGGAGGGGGAGGGGGAGGAGGAGGAGGAGGGAAGGAGGGAAAGAGGGAGGGGGAAGGAAGGAGTGAGGGAGGAAATGGGGAAGTTGGGGAGGGGAAGAGTGGGGGAGCGGGAGGGGGAAGGAGGGAGGAGGCAGGTAACGTGGAAGGAGGGTACTGGGGGTAACGGGTAGCAGGTGAAGGGTGAGGAGAGTGGGTGTGGGGAAATGGATGGGTTGGGCAATTTGTGCTTCTTATTCCGTTCCCTCCCCATTCCTTCCTCTCCACTTCAGTTCAGCCTTCACATGCTCACTATCGGTAATCTTATATGCCCTTCTTTCTTTCTGCACCCCTCCACGCCATCCCCCAATCAACCAGTGTCCGCGTCCAATCAGAGTGCGACATGCTGGACTTTGCGTCAGACTACTTGCGTCGGGTCCGAAAGACAAAATCGCATGTCATGGCCGAATGGGTTCTCACTGTCCTCCCACCCACCAAATCATCCGCCGGACCAGTTTCCACACCCACCGAACCAACCACCGAATCAGCTACCAACTCATCCACCGAATCGGTTACCAACCCATCCACCAAACCTGCTACCGAACCTGGACCAGCTCCTACCACAGAGTCCCAAGCCAGCAACAGACCCTCTCACGATGCAACGTATGGTCCAGATTCGCCGTGCGACCATGCCATCCACGGCCGGTGGCTGATCAACGCACAGAAGCAGGCCTACGAGTGGCAGCTCTACCCCTGCGCGCACCCCCTCCCCCCCGCCTCCCAATGGCTCTCCTCCCTCCAATCTCGGGGCATTTTTGAGATTAACTTTGTCGGGGATTCTCACGTTCGATTCCTCTACCATCACCTCTATTTTCTCCTTACCGGCAAGGCTAATGCGTCAACTGTACATTACTATGCAGACCTTCAATTGGTCGTGCCGCCCCCTAGCCCAGATTTGCAGCCTCTGAAGCTCAATTTCTATTGGATCGGAGGGATTTACATCGACGGGCCTTTTGGCTGCAGGTGCAGTGTGGGATCAAAGCTTGATTGTTTTTCCCTTTCCTCTTATCAGTTTTGTTCTCTCCCATTCCATGGTTTTCATCGCTTATTTTTGTGGCGTTCAGCTTTCAGTTGAGTAGCAGGGCATGGCTAGATCTCAGATAGTTTAAGGCTCTAATCACACTCTACATGCCTTCCCATCCTTCCTGAATTCATGGATCATGGCTCTAAGCTGAATGGCAGATCATTTGCTGTCCTTGTAGCTTTAGTCTTTGTGTCGCTCAATTAGTCCCGGAGTTCAAGTCTCTAAACACACTACACGTGCCTTTCCATCCTTCCTGCCACTCCTCCCTTCACTGTAATCACCGTGCAGCTATAAGAACGTCACGAAATTCGATCTGCTAAGGTTTCCAAACATTTCCATGACAGCCAGTGTGACGCTTGTAGACGGCGGCTTCTGGATGACAATTTTCTGCGCCGAGCCGGAGAACGCCTTGGGATATTACCTCCCCAACTACCTGCAGTGGGTTTACTCTCAGAGGGAACTGGCAATGCAGGCACAGCGGCAGCCGCCGCCGCCGCCGCAGCAGCAGCAGCAGCAGCAGAAGAAGCAGCAGCAGGGAAATCAAACCTTGACGCTGCCCGCCACGGCAGGCCCTTGGTTTCTGTTCCGAAGCATCCCTCCAAGGCGGCTCAACGACTTTTGCTACGACGGAACAAACACACTAATTGCACACATGAACAGAGTTGTTGCCAGGCACTTGGGACGGTACGGGCTGCAGCTTCTCAATGATTGGCTGATCGCAGCCCCTCGCCCCGACGATACGTGCGGGCCAAAGGATCCGCACCACACCTGCTTTGCCGAAGCTGTGAACGGCAAGAAGAATATGGAAACGGATGGGAGGTATGAGGGGGTTGTGGGAGAAGCCATGGTGTGGAATTTGGTGTACCATCTCTTGTATAATCTGACTTGAATATGCTCAGATTTCATCAGTACATGCCTGAGCGCACTTGGGTTCTAAATGCACCCTGCAGAAGTTTTTGCCAAGGTCCTTTTTCGGAACCCATTGCAGGTGAACCGACATCTGTTTAGGGATTCCATGGAGTCAAGGTGTTCCATATTGCTCAATTACCGGTAGGCTCACCAAATGTACACAGAACTTCCCTACACATACGGCGAAGGACATTGTAAAAAACTGGCCCTAGATTAGACCCGGCACTGGCAACAACCTGACAACTTGGCCTTATGAAGAGTATTGATAGTACTCCTACACTCATTCGGTACTCCAATCTCCACAAGGAAATCAAACCATGGAAATTAAACTAGGTGATGTGACGGCACATCAAGCACTCAGAGTGACAATTGACAGCCCAGAATGCCAAGTGCTCTGTGCCCCTGGCCCTCTGGCCTCCTTTGTTGGGTTTGCACGAAGTACTACGGTTGCCTGAAGCTGAAACCAGGGTCGGGCTGAGCGGAGCAGCTTTTGAGTCGACTCAAAAGCGTTTGCACCAAGTACGGTTGCCTGACGCTGAAACCAGGGTCGGGCAGAGCAGAGCAGTGGGCACCTTGCAACGGGTCGCTCGGATCGCCGCGTAAGTTACTTGAAGCTGAAACCAGTGGGTGGGCCAGGGGGGGCTCTCCTAGACGTGGCACGCAAGGGATTCCCCATCCCCCCTCCTGCATCCATCCCCCCTGCTAGGGTCTGCCTTAGCGGGCTCGCACTCCTGGCAGTACTTGCAGATGGGACCATGGGCGGCCCCCGAGCCATCACCGGACCTGGGACCATAGCTCCGGGAACTCCCGCGCCTAGCGGGTTCGGCACGGAGCCCATGGTCATGCCGCGGGTGATAGCTGGCGGCTGTTGATTGGTGGAGGAGGAGGAACGGGTGGGCTGGAATGACGATGCATGTGAGATACCATAGGAAGGAGCTCCAGTTGCTGCTGCTGCTCCTGCTGCTGCTGCTGCGGATGAGGTGGGAGGGGTGGGAGAAGCAGCAGCAGCACCGGCCGCTGCTGCTGCAGCGGCTGCTACGGCTGCCGATGCTGACGATTTGGAAGGTTTGGAAGAGGAGGATGATGATGAGGACGAGGAGGATGGTGGTGGTGGGGGCGTTTTTCGAGAGGAAGGGGAGGGAAGGGTGCTGGAATCAGCAGAGGGTTCTTCGAGGATTGTGGGAGCGGCAGGGGCTGCCTTGTTGAACGCTGTTCTCCACGCGTCCACTGTCTCCTTGGTGCCTGGTTGGACAGCGGGACACAATATGGCACAGAGAGAGGGCGGACACGCATGGAGATTTGAAGGAACGGCAGGGGCTGCCTTGTTGAAAGCTGCTCTCCACGCGTCCACTGTCTCCTTGGTGCCTGGTGGGACAGCAGGGCACAATATGGCACAGAGAGAGGGCGCACATGCACAGAGATTTGAAGAAACGGCAGGGGTGGCCTTGTTGAAAGCTGTTCTCCACGCTTCCACTGTCTCCTTGGTGCCTGGTGGGACAAGATGGAAGCAGGGATGGCACAGCATGGCATTGAGAGGGGATTCAAGAAGACATAGAGGGGTGCACATGGCACAGAGAGAGGTGGACATGGCACAGAGAGGAATGCACATGGCACAGAGAGAAGAGGACATGGCAGGGAGACCCGAAAAGACAGACGCCCACCTTGTCCTTCGTCCTCAGCAGACGCCCGTGCCTCATGCAAACTAAGCGCCCTCTTGAGTTGCAGCATGGCATCGCGCATGCGCTTGAACTTGTCGCGTTTGCCGGCGCTCTCGGAGTCCTCCTGCAGCATGGAATGCAGCCGGTCGTCCGACATGCCGCTTACCGTCTGGTACAGCTTCGTCAGCATTGAGTCTCGCGCCCGCTCCACCTGAGCCAGCACTATGGCCTGATGTGTCATCATGTGGTGGTGGTGGTGTGGAAGGGGGAAGAGGGGAGGGCAGAGGGGGAAGAGCGGGGGGGCAGTAGTGGGGAATATGGTGGTTGGAAGGGGGGACGGAGGGAGGGGAAGGAGAGGGAGTGAGTTGAAGAATGCCGGCACTCTCCGCGTCCTCCTGCAGCATGGAGTGCAGCCTGTCGTCCGACATGCCGCTCACCGTCTGGTACAGCTTCGTCAGCATGGAGTCTCGCGCTCGTTCCACCTGAGCCAGTACTATGGCCTGATGTGTCATCATGTGGTGGTGGTGGTGGAAGCGGGAAGAGGGTATGGCAGAGGGGGAAGAGCGGGGGCAGTAGTGGGGAAGATGGTGGTTGGAAAAGGGGGAGGGAGGGAGGGGAAGGAGAGGGAGGGGAAGGAGAGGGAGTGAGTCGAAGGCTTGCCGGCGCTCTCGGCGTCCTCCTGCAGCATCGCCTGCAGCTTGTCGCCCGACATGCCGCTCACCGTCTGGTACAGCTTCGTCAGCAAGGAGTCTCGAGCTCGCTCCACTTGAGCCAACACTATGGCCTGATGTGTTGTTGTTGTTGTTGTGGGTGAGTGAGAGAGAGGAGGGAGAGGAAGGAGAGGGGGTGAGGGCATATCTATGCAGCTTCAGCGTCTGGTACTGCTTCGTCAGCATGGAGTCTTGAGATCTCTCCACATGAGCCAGTACTATGACCTGACGTGTTGTGAGGTGACTTTTGAGTCCACTCAAAAGTCACCAGTACTATGGCCTGACGTGTTGGGGTGTGTGGGCGCAGGGAGGAGGGAGAGCAAGGAGGGAGAGGAAGGAGAGGGAGAGGGAGTGAGGGCCTGTCTATGCACCCTACAGGTACACGGACAAATATACACACACGGAGCCTCACCTTGGGAATGTTGTCAGCCAGGTGCACGAGCACTGCCTGCACGTATGGCCGCACCTCCATCACCTGGTACCGTAGCCAATAAACCCTTGAATACCCCATTACCCCATGTCGCAATCTCCGAGCCTCACCTTGGGGATGTTGTCAGCCAGGTGCACGAGCACAGCCTGCACGTATTGCCGCACCTCTGTCACCTGGTACCGCAGCTCCTCCTCCGGATTCACTTAGAACAACGCACTGCCGCCACCAGCACAGGGCCTCTTGCCCCTATCTCACACCCACAGGCACCCAGTCACACACGCACACTCGCACACACACATGCACACACGGAGCCTCACCTTAGGAATGTTGTCAGCCAGGTGCACAAGCACTGCCTGCACGTATCGCCGCACTTCAGCCACCTGGTACCGCAGCTCCTCCTCCAGATTCGCCACCCGCCCTGCCCCCGCCGCCCCTCCCCCTCCCAGCCCCAGCGCCCCCGGCACAATATTGCCCCCACCCCCACCACCACTACCAGCCGAATCACCATCCCTGCTGCTGCCATCGTCTCCTGATTGGTCGGTGTCGCCCCCGGTGGAAGAGGAAGGGGGAGGGGGAGGTGGCGCCTCCTTGAAGGCCTTGGTGTGGCTGCGCAGGCGCGCCACCCACTGCTGCTTCTCTGCCATGTTGTCTGCCCTCAGGATGAGCGACTGGTGCACTGGAGGAGGGGGGAAGGAGGGGGAGGAACAACATGTAGGGGTAGGTGATGAGGACAGAGGGAGAGTGAGCTAGCCAACACCCACTGCTGCTTCTCCGCAATGTTGTCTGCCCGCAGGATGAGCGACTGACTGGTGGAACCAGGGGAGGGGAGGGGAGGGTGATGGGGGAGGGGGACAACGTTGAGAATGATGAGGATGGAGAGTCGGGAGGGAGTGAGAGGAGGCAGGATACAAGGGGCCTTGAGTTGACCATCTTGGTGTGTTGCTGCCCATGCTCACAAACATGGGGTAAACACATGCCTTTGACCAAGGCTTGTCACATGTGACAAGTGGGATATTCATTTGAGTTGACCATAGTCTACACACTTTGCCCAGTTACACCACCTTTGACCAGCGTTGACCCACTTTTGACCAGAGTTGACCCACCTTTGACCAGCGTTGACCCACCTTTGACCACGGTCTTGTACGGCACTCTGTTGCCGATCTTGAAGGAGAGTGCTTGCGCTGATGGGTTCGACCCTGCCTTGATGTCCGACGCTGAGGGTACCTCCTCTGGCGGCACTATCTCGTCTATTATGCAGTCCTGTAACGAGTAAAGCAAAAACGGGGACAAATAGAGGGTTAGTAGGAGGGTATTCCGGATTTCAGCCCTTTATGCCTCTATTTCGTCCACTAAGCTGCAGTCCTGTAACATTTGTTTTGCAAAAACGGGGACAGAACAGAAGGAGAGCAGAAAAATACTTTTGGAGAGGGAAATGTACCCAGCCTCAACTACCCCACCTCAACTACTGAGTGAAATCCTAGCAGACTGAGTCTAAAACCCTCCATCCAAAAAGAACAGTAGAAGAATACAAAAAAGTTGCCGCCTTCCTCCTACCAAAGCATATCATCAAGACAGCGACTACCTTCCTCCACTCCCCAAGTCAATGAACGACTGTTGGTTGCTGCTTTACCTACCTTGAGAGGAAGTGACTTTTGAGTCGACTCAAAATTCACCTCCTTACCAAAGCAGATCATCAAGACAGAGACTACCTTCCTCCACTCCCCGTGTCAATGAACGACCGTGGGTTACTGCTTTTGCCTATTTCAAGAGGAATGACTGCCCCTAGGCGTCTTCTCACCAGGCTTCTTTACACAGTAGAGCCGCAGGGCCGGGCACAGGTAGAAAGTGAATTATGAGACGTCTCAAAAAACCACTTTCTACACGTGGCTTCTTCACATAGTAGAGCCGCAGGGTCGGGCACGGTGGACATGGTGGGAAACAACCATAGAAGCTTGTTTGAGCACGGCGGACATGGTGGGAAACAACCATAGAAGCTTGTTTAGGCACGGTGGACATGGTGGGAAACAACCATAAAAGCTTGTTTAGGCACAGCGGACATGGTGGGAAACAACCATAGAAGCTTGTTTAGGCACGGCGGACATGGTGGGGAACAACCATAGAAGCTTGTTTAGGCACGGCGGACATGGTGGGAAACAACCATAGAAGCTTGTTTAGGCACGGCGGACATGGTGGGAAACAACCACCACACCCCCCCCCAATCCTTACCTCAAGCGGAATGACTCCCCTAGGCGTCTTCTCATCGGGCTTCTTCACACATAGTAGAGCCGCAGGGCCGGACACGGCGGACATGGTGGGAAACAACCACTACACTATGGGTAGGGGAAACTATTGGTGTCTTACCTCGAGAGGAATGACTCCCCTAGGAGTCTTCTCATCGGGCTTCTTCACGTAGTAGAGCTGTGGGGAATGGAGGGAACGGCACGGCGGCACAGGAGGGAAAAGAAAAGAGAAGCGTGGTGGGCGTAGTGGAAAGGGAGGGAGACAGAGTGGTGAGTGGAGGGGACAGGAGGGAGAAGAGTGGCGAGGGGAGGAAAGAGGGAGGAAAGAGAGAGGGAGAGAAATAGTGCTTTCTGCACCCTGCGGGCGGGTGTTGAGTCAACATGAAACTTGAATAGCGAAGAAGGGACGTGAGGCAAATGGTACGTGAGGGAAGTGGTTACGCTGTATGTGTGTGTGTGGCATAGCATACCCGGCAGTCTTGTCGCTGAGTGCGAACCATCGCTTGCTCCACCCTCCAGGTGAGCTCTGACTTTACTCAAAGCTCGCATAGAAAAGCAAGGAAAACTTCTGAGGCAAATCGTCTGGTGATTGCACTTTGCGTACAGCCAGCATACCCGAGCAGTCTTGTCGCTGAGTGCGAACCAGCGCTTGCTCCACCCCCCCTTGGAGCTCACTTTCCACAAGAACCCTGCCAGGAGGAATGACAGCGACAGCAGCAAGAACAGTGATGACAGTTTTTGAGACGTCTCAAAAACAAGCTTAATTCATGTCGCTTGCTCCACCCTCCCTTGGAGCTCACTTTCCACAAGAACCCTTTTGAGACGTCTCAAAAGGTGCAAACCAGCGCTTGCTCCACCCTCCTTTGGAGCTCACTTTCCACAGGAACCGTGCCAGAGAAGTGACAGTAACGACAGAAAGGACAGCAACAACAGCAACGGCGGCAAGAACAAAACGGGTTCAATCTGTGTTAGACTCAGACATGTAGGTGTCCAGATTGAATCCATACCCAAGCAGTTTCTACGAGAAGCCTGATATGGTGTCCAGCAAGCAACAGCAGCAAAAACCACAAGGGATCTAACTGTGTGAGAATCAGACAAAAAAAACCCTGACTGGGTGAGCATGGCAACAACAGAAACAAGCAACAAAGCAAGGATGACTCTAAGCTCTTTCACGGGAGCCGAGCCAGAGAGGCTGCAAGGCGTTGGCACAGGGCGGAGAGGAGGGGTGGTGTCCTTCTCGCAGCACTTCATCCCATCCGCATCCCATCCCACCCCACCCCATCTCATTCCACAGCGTCACAACCGGTCTCAACCCATCTCAACCCATCACAGAACAGCACAGCACCTGCAAGCTCCTTGACGGGACCCAGGGGCTGAGAGGCATCGGTGGGTGGCGGAGGAGGGGGAGGCTCCTTCTTGCGGGAGAAAGATGACATGGCAGAGGCAAAGCGGCCTCCCCCACTGTCTCCTGTCGACTGGGGGACGGGGTGGGGGGGTTGGGAGAAGGCCGACGAACAAGGAGAGGGCGAGGGAAAACATGTTTGACGCGCCTCAGAAATCAGACTGTCTCATTACACCAGCGGATGCGAGATATCAGCAGAGGGCGGAGGAGGGGGAGGCTCCTTCTTTCGGGAGAAGGATGACATGGCAGAGGCAAAGCGGCCTCCCCCACTGTCTCCTGTCGACTGGGGTAGAGGAGGGAGGATGAGGAGGGGTGAGAGAACGAGGAGGAGGTGAGGGAGACATGAAAAACTTATGAACAGAACGAGAAATAGAGATATTGTACTTGCAGAGAGAAGCAAGGAGAGGGAGAGAGCATTTATGTAAGGATCGGCAGACAGAAAAAAACTCAGGGAGCAGGAGGGTGGCAGCAGTTCCGAGAGTAGGAGAGAGGCCAAAGTGACAAGGACGACTCACGGAGCGGGAGAGCACGCCTCGGTCCTGCAGGCCCTTGCGAGCCACCTCCAACTCCTTCCACATCTTCTCCTGCCTGGCGGGTGGAAGAGGAAAGAGAGAGAGAGGGTGGGCGAGGGGATGGGACGGGAGGGGGTTTGCGGCATCTCAAAAGTTGGCCCTTGCGAGCCACTTCCAACTCCTTCCACAGCTTCTCCTGCCTGGCAGATGGAAGAGGAAAAATAAGGAGGGACGGGGGTTCTGCGGCACCTCAAAAGACCCATCCCAGCTCAGCTCACCCATCCCAACCACCCATCCCAACCACCCATCTCAACCACCCATCCCAACCACCCATCCCAACCACCCATCCCAGCTCAGCTCAAATCAGCTCACCCATCCCAGCCCAGCTCATCTCACCGCCTGTACTCCGCCTCAATATAGTGAGAGGGCAGCACAGAGCCCTTCTCCATGTGACTCTTGAACCAACTTAAAGCCCACCTCTTCACCGCCCTCCCTCCCTCCCTCTGCAATTCCCCAAATCCCCGGGCTGACCTTTTGTACTCCGCCTCAATGAAGTGCGACGGCGGCACGAATCCCTTCTCCATGTCCACGATGGCTGTCACCATGCGCTTCGCCTCCGCGCGATACTCGTCCAACGCTGCCGAGGCGATGGCCACCAGCTGTCATGTGGGGGGAGGCAAGGGAGTGGCGAGGAGGGAGAAGGGCCACGACCATGAGCCCTTTTCTCCATGTCCACGATGGCTGTCACCATGCGCTTCGCCTCCGCGCGATACTCGTCCAACGCTGCTGATGCTATGGCCACCAGCTGGGAGTTAATGGGAGAGGGGAGGAGGGGTTAGAACGGGAGAAAGCAGTGAGAGGGTGCCGTAGATATGAGCCCAACTCTCCATGTCCACGATGGCCGTCACCATGCGCTTCGCCTCTGCGCGATACTCGTCCAATGCTGCCGATGCAATGGCCACCAGCTGGGAGGGGAGGGGAGGGAGTGGAGGGGGGAAGAGAGAAGCAAGCAAGGGGCGGTGGAGAGGTGGCATGGCATACGCCAGTCACCATGCACCAGTATGTGAAGGTACACTTCACCTCCACCAGATACTCACTCGACCAGTGCTACTGAGGCGATGGCCCACCAGCTGATTGAAAGTGTGGGGGCGAGGAAGGAAGGGAGCGGGGAAAAGGGAGGGTAAGAGGGCAGGGCGCTGTAGCCGTAATGCCACGTGCTCGGACTAATGCAGATGGGGCTATGACCATGGGGTGGGGAGGCTATGATAGAGGGGACAGAGGGGCATACGTGCTAGAAGTTTGTTGCTCCCACTTACTTTATGATGAGCCATGGGGGTTCGGAAAGGAAGAGTGGGAGAGAGGGAGGGGGGATGGGGAGGGAGGAGAAGGCGTGGGGACGGGATGAGGAAAGCATTGGTGCTTGGAAAGGGGAGGAGAGAGGATCGCGGGGGCAGCTGTGAAGATGGGGTGAAGTGAAATGGGAAGCTTATAGGCAGCCAGTCACTGTACCTCTGTTTTCATGGGTGGGAACCGGACGAGCGAAGGGGCTTGGGATGCAGCACCTGCAACGATGTCCACAAGAATCTTGTGCACCTGCAATGGATGGATGCGCATGGTATGACATGGTGTGAGCCGTTATAAGAAGAATGGCAGGCATCTATGACACACACACATCAAGAGTTGAGTGGTGTGGCACGAGGCTTCTGAAGAAGCTTCTCGTCCCAGCTTCAACCACATCACATCACGCCCACTCAGTTTAACCCAGCCAGATTAGTGGCTGGCAGGTAGGTAGGTGATCAAATCCAATAATTTTAGAAAGAAAAGCAGCAACAATCGGGCTTTCCCTTTGACCCTCCGTCCCCTGCTCCCTCCCCTTTCCTCTCACCTCCACACAGTCAATGCCGGGCTGCTTGGCCAGCTGCAGGCTCCTCTTGATGAGAAGACAGTCAATCAGAGTCAACTGAGTCAATCGTGGTCAAACTCCTGCTCTCACCTCGTCCACACAGTCAATGCCCGGCTGCTTGGCCAGCTCCAGGCTCCGTTTAATGAGTAGACGCAGGCCCTTCTCAGGCGACAGCAGGTATGGCTGATACCCATCTGCCACCATCACCACCTGGTGGGGTAGCAGTGGTGGGAGAGTGATGGAAGGGAGGAAAGGAGGGATAGGCGGTGGTGAAAGGGAATGGCGACGGCGACAGCCGTTGTTGCATTGACCAGAAATATATATGAAGGCCCTTCCGCTGGTGACGGCAGGTATGGCTGGCAGGCAGCCATCCGCCACCACCACCAGCTAATGGAGCAAACAGGACAGCATCATCGACGGCCCACTCACCTTGTTGACATTGTCAAAGCTGAACATGTCGTCTAGGGGGAGCCCTCTGAAGCGCAGCCGCAGAGGCAATCCTTTTCCAGTCGACTACAGAGTCGGATCATTCACTCACCTCCTTCACGTTGTCAAAGCAGACCATGTCGTCCAGAGGAAGTCTATTTATGAGGCGCCTAAAAAATAAACACCATCGACGGGTCACTCACAAATGGGTCACTCACTCACCTTCTTGACGTTGCCAAAGCTGAACATGTCGTCCAGAGGGAGCCCCTTGAATGAAGCGCAGTGGCAATTATTTTTCAGCTGATTATGGAGTCAGTAAGGTCACTCACCTCCTTGACGTTGTCAAAGCTGAACATGTCATCCAGAGGGAGCCCTCTGAAGCGGAGGGGTGATCATTTTTCAGTCGACTATAGAGTCCGTCGGGTCACTCACTCACCTTCTTGACGTTGTCAAAGCTGAACATGTCGTCCAGAGGGAGCCCTCTGAAGCGCAGCGGCAGCGTGCCGACAAACTTCTCCACCATCTGCGACCCTCCGCCCTGTGGGTGTGGAGTGGAGTGGAGGCGTAACGGGTGCATGCATGGAATAATGGGGTTTGTTTGAGCATGCTACTGCAAGGAAAGCCTTGCAGCGCAGGGGCAGCATGCCGACAAACGTCTCCACCATCTGCGACCCTCCGCCCTGTGGGTGTGGAGTGGAGGTGAAGGGGTGAGTGAGAGCAAGGCGAAATGGTGGACGCAAGGAGCCAGAACCCGGTCTGACCGAGCGTGCTGCTGAACGGTCTGATTTCAAAAGCAGCGACTGTTGTCCTAGGATCCAAGTAGAGCATGGAAGAAAGAAACCTAGAGCATGGGAAGTAGCAGGCTTCGTTCTTCAAGCATGGAAGGAGTCTAGAGTGTGTTTATTCCTCCCCCTTCTGCCACACCTGCATCTCTGCCTTGCACCTCACCTCCCACAGCGCACGCACCTCACCTCCCACAGCGCACGCACCTCACTGCCATCCAGGTGTTCGCAGAACTTGGTCTCAAATCCTCGGCACAGCTCCAACGCAAGGGCACGCGAGCCGTTGAGGTTGGACACGGAAGAGCAGCCCTTTCCATTCCCCTCACCTGGCCCTTCCATACCACCTTGAGGCACCCCATAATGCCCCCTCCCGAACACACACACGGCACCTCACTGCCATCCAGGTGTTCACAGAACTTGGTCTCAAACCCTCGGCACAGCTCCAGGGCCAGCGCACGTGAGCTATTCAGGCTAGAAACGAAAGAGAAGCCCTATCCTCTCTCCCTACCTGCCCCCTCCATCCATACCACCTTGCAACACCCCATAATGCCTCCTCCCCAGCGCACGCACCTCACTGCCGTCCAGGTGCTCGCAGAACTTGGTCTCAAACCCTCGGCACAGCTCCAGGGCGAGGGCACGCGAGCCGTTGAGGCTGGAGACCAGTGAGTCGCCCAGCCTGAGTAGCTCCGCATCCACCTCCTGAGACCGACCCTCCAAGCTGACGGGAACAAGGAGAGGGGAGGCCAGGAGACATGAGCTTTTCAAACCCTCGGCACAGCTCCAGGGCGAGGGCACGCGAGCCGTTCAGACCGGTGACGAGGGAGTCTCCCAGCCTGAGTAGCTCCGCATCCACCTCCTGAGACCGACCCTCCAAGCTGACGGGAACAGGGAGAGGGGAGGCCAGGAGACATGAGCTTTTCAAACCCTCGGCACAGCTCCAGGGCGAGGGCACCGGAGCCGTTCAGACCGGTGACGAGGGAGTCTCCCAGCCTGAGTAGCTCCGCATCCACCTCCTGAGACCGACCCTCCAAGCTAATATGGGGGTTGAGGGAGTAAGAGAGGAGGCAGGAACGGGGGAAAGGTGGGGGGGAGGGGTTGGTTTAGAAAAGGGAGGTAAGAATGTATGAATTGGACTCTGGAGGCAGTTGAGGCTGGAGACCAGGGAGTCATCAGCCTGAGTAGCTCCCGACCCACCTCCTCAGACCGACTCTCCAAGCTGATGGGTCCGGGAGAGGGGGGTAAGGTGAGCCAGTGAGAGTGAGAGTGAGAAGAGCGGGTGAGAGACACTTATGCGGACATAATACAGAAGGTTGCCACCTTCATTTGTGAGCAGAGGGAAGGTGTGAGAGAGTGAGCCACTGAGCGTGACCGTTTTATGGGAGTGACGGTGTGGAGGGGGTGAGAGATGCTTGCGCAAACATAATGCTGGAATTTACTGCTTCGCCTTGTGAGAAGAGAAAGGGTGGGTGAGTGGGTGAGCGAGTGAGAGGACGGGGTGAGGGAGACTTACGCAGACATGATGCGCGGAATCTTCTCCTTCATCTTGTGCCGCACGGTGCGAGCAATCAGCCGCAGCAACGCATCGCGACCCATGGGCGTGTCCATGCCCTTCACGCCATTCGCCCGCATCACCTGCCATGCAAGGCATGCAACGAAACACAACACAGCGCAAGGACGGAAGACAAAAGGTAAGCTGTTCCTTCCTAATCCTATATCATGGGCTCGTTCGTGCCACGTGAAGTGAGGGTGTTTTTGAGACGTCTCAAAAATCTCCACTGCCTTCCTTGTTGTTTCTCGGCTGCTCTCTCCTGTGTTCTGCAGGCACGTGAAGTGAGGGTGTTTTTGAGACGTCTCAATCCTATACAAAAACACCCTCACTTCACGTGGCTGTTCCTTCCTAATCCTACATCATGGGCTCGTTCATGCCCTTGTCCCCCAGAGGGGTGCCCAATCACCGCCACCGACACGACACACAGAAATTTGCACTGCACATTGCAACGGCTTCCAATACCCATCCATGCTCACCCAGCACGGAGCTCTCTCAACTCACCTGCGACAGGACCTTGAATGAACTCCTCCTGCCATGCAGCATGCCGGCATCCATGGGCACGACTCATTCCCAATCCCATTCAAACGAATCACCATTCACAACACAGCACAACTCTCACCTGCGATAAGACCTTGTATTCCTCCTGCCAAGCGCCATCCATGGGCTCATTTGTGTCCTTGTCCCCCAGCGGCTGCCCAATCACAGCCACCCACGGGTAGTCCTGAGCCATGGCCGCCCCCTGCTTCTGAAGCAGGTCCACTGCCAGCTTCGCTGTGTCCCTGTCCTTCATCACTTGGTCGAATTTCGTTATAACTCCAATGGTCCTCACACCTGGGGTTGGTTGCACAGAGAAGAGATTGAAAAGGGCATGCGTTTAGTCAACCAACCTGCCTCTGCAGCAGGTCCACTGCCAGCTTCGCTGTGTCTCTGTCCTTCATCACTTGGTCAAACTTCGTAATGACTCCAATCGTTCTCACACCTGCATTGGGGGAAATGGAAACGGAAAAGGAGAGCTTCAAGTGCCCCTGCCTCTGCAGCAGGCCCACTGCAAGCTTCGCCGTGTCTCAGTCACATCACTTGGTCAAACTTCGTAATTACTCCAATCGATCTCACACCTGGGCTCGGTGGCACGGAAAGAGATAAAAGATGTGTGTAATGAGTGCAACGCGCCTCTGCAGCAGGCCACTGCCAGCTTCGTCGTATCTCTGTCCTTCATGACTTGAAGCGATTTTAGTTATTACTCCAATCGTTCTCACACCTGGGGGGTTGATTGTACAAGGAGGAAATTGAAAAGGGCGGGCGTTTAGTCAACCAACCTGCCTCTGCAGCAGGTCCACTGCCAGCTTCGCCGTGTCTCTGTCTTTCATCACTTGGTCGAATTTCGTTATTACTCCGATGGTCCTCATACTTATTGAAAGAAACGAGCTTTTGAGTCCAACCAACCTGCCCAATGACCCAGTTCAGTCAGTCAGTCAGTCAGTCAGTCAGTCAGTCAGTCAGCCAGTACACTCTTCACTTCACCTTCTTGATCGATGTCGTGAGAAAATTGTGTACCTCTGAAATCGATGTCATCCCTGTCCTCCACTCTCTCAGCTTCCTTATCATCAATGTCGTGAGCAATGCATCGGTTCTTGAATCTTGAAGCGCCTGGAAACCCTATTCCCACTACTCACCTTCTTTGTCAATGTCGTGAGCGATGCGGAGGATCTTAAGAGAGTCCTTAACTGCCGTGGCAGAGATCACCACCAGGATGACTGCATCATTGTTGGACACATTGTCCTGGAACTGCATGCATGCACGCACACGTGGAGTACAAGGCACGAAAGTACAGAATCGTCAAGACCAGTCTATGAGGCTGGCTTCACTAGAATCGTCTCACACCAGGATGACTGCATTGTTGTTGGGCACCTTGCTTGCCCTGGAGTGAAAGGAATGTGATTGATTGAAGCACGCCAGGATGACTGCATGCATCATTGTTGAGCAACATGCTGTCTGCCTTACAGACGAACTGAACAAATGATCAAGTACACATAAACGAGACAAGAAACAACACGTCGTACACACGAGAACCGATTTAAGACAGCATGGTATGGCGCAGGGAAGGCTTACTGCTCCATCCATTTGAGATGCCTTCTCGATTCCAGGCAGGTCAATGATGCGCATTGGTGGGGCTGTGCAAGGGACGGGCGGCAATGGCCAACAGGAGAGAGAAGGCGCGGGGCGAGGAGACAGCAAGGAGAAAGTGGTGAGGCAACGGTGAGGGGAATTTGAAATTAATGGAACGACGGCAGTGTGGGAAAGAGAAGCCGGAGAAGCCAACCCCTCTACACACCACCACTTTGTTTTTTATTCTGCACCGCAGCAGTGCAGGCAGATCTCGGACAAGGATGCCTTTTTACACTTGCAAATCACGATGAAAGACTGAGAGGGGGAAAGACGGGAGACGGACAGACCGATTGGCGAGCGGAGGATGAGTTGCGCCTCCTCTCTGTGCCTGGACGACCCCTTGGCCTTGCTCATGTCCGACTGCAGTGCTTGCCGTATCTCCGCTGCACCCAGAGAGAAAAACGCAGGGAGCAGCAAAGAGAGAAGGACAGGCGAACGTTTCACTCTCAGATTGCCTGGAATGGAAACCCTCTCTCTGCTGACCACCAGAGTCAACAATTACCTAAGCACTCCTGGAGTTTGTTTCTATGAGTTAATTATCCCTGAAAAAAGTTTGCTCTTACAGGGCTTAGGCATGTTTGTTCTGGGGCCGAGATTGGCGCGCACAGAGCCGGCCGAAAGGTTCTGGTCGCGATGCAAGTCAACCAGCACTGGGAAGCGCGTGCACCCGCCCTCTCCTGTTGGCTGAGAGGGAAACCGAGCAAGGAGAACCCGGAAGAGAAGGCAAAAGTTGGGAAAAAGAAACACAACACAGGGCAGAAAGCAGAGGAGTCAGAGATCAGTCAGCAGAGCACCAGTAAGTGGGTTCTTATTGTGGTGCAACGACGTGCATGCATTAAATGCAACAGGAAGACATAGTACGGATTGCGGGTGACAGTGAGATGCATCCAGGATGACAACAGTAAAAGCATACGAAAATAAAAGTTTTCAGAAGGGGATACTCGTCCAATCAAAGTCAACAGTGAAACTACTGCTAAACCGCCTCAACTGTCACCAGCGAATGAAGCCCTCTAGTGGGCCAAGAGTTACCAGCGAGTGAAATAATCAACTTACGAAAGACCATCAAACTCGAGCACTTTTTAGCAGACACAGGAAAGACATGAAATATTCAATCCACTGACATACCAGGACGGCATGGCCGATGAGCGTGTTGAGGACAGCTGACTTTCCCGAACCCTGCAGGTAATGAGGGGAAAGCGAAGCGACCAGACTTGAAGCTCATTAAGAACAATTTATCAACAGGGAAAAGAAAACGACGGAAGAAGCGTGTGAGAATGAAAGCTTGATACTTGCTATAGAGTAACTGACGATTGTTCGTACGGAGCCCTGGAGATAGTGACAACAGTCGGACACTGAAACGCCGTTCATGACAGAGTGCCGTACGCTACGAGATCATGTCGGAGTGCGTCGTACGCGAAGGTATCACAACAGCTTGTCGTACGTGTCGGACATGATGATCGACCGTGTCGTACGCTGAGGCATCACAATAGTGTGTCAGATGCGATGACACGTGTTGTTTGAGCGTCGTCCCGTAGCGCGGACGACGGACAGCAGGATGGGAGCAAAGCAGGTTCCTAATTATGTGCTAAGAAGCGTCGTGCTTCCGTGTCGACTTGAAAGCGTGGTAACTCTGAGTCCCGAAGGTCGTACGCCTGTGTCGACTCAACAAGCAACATACGTCTGCGTCGACTCCAAAAGCATCGGACGTTCGACTGTGTTGACTGAACGAGCATCGTACCGGCGCGCCGATGACCAAAAGCTGGATGACGGGAGCAGAGCCCGAGCGAGGGTCCGCCTGAATGTCGTCTCCCACGAGCGCCGACGACGCCTGCTGTAACGTCTCGCCTAGCGATATTAGGTCGTCCATGGGAACCTACTGACTAATCGCAATCGTCGCAAGATTCGCGATAGTCGCAGTGGTTGCCACAATAATCGCGACGGACACCGCAACGGTTGGACGGAGCGAAACCAAGTAGTCTGACGAACCACCGCCTCAGCGATAAGTGAACTGTAATTGTTCAACAAAGTGATTAAAGAGAGGCGGCTGGGTGTTTCCAAACACGCTTGTTTGGAGCGATCACATGAGATGATCAGCCGGAGATCACGCATGAGCTAGCGCAGCCAAATGGCCATGGATGGACCATGGAGCTCATGTGAGCAGCTAAAAACGGAATTTCAAACGCTTGAGACCCAGCTGCTCACACGAGTGTGTACGCACAGCAGCACACGCCGTACGTTCCCAAGGTTGCTTGGTAAATTCTCGTCTCACGTACAGGTTCATGTCTGTTGTGTGTTCAGCTGACCCTCTGCGAGACGTCTTTGCAAATGACGAAACTGGTTACCGCAAAGGGGCACCCCACCCCTTTCTGCCCCAGAATGCAATTTCAAGGCTGGACGAAGTTCCCAAGGCTGGCGGGAGAGTGGAGAACAGATCAGAGATCAAGACTCAACACTTGTCTTGTCGGGCAGCGTCCCACATCCCGTGCCCGTGACCAGGGCTGTCGATTCAAGGGCATTTGCCCTTAATGCCCTGAACATTCCGGGTTATGTTCGGCGCAGCTCGACCATTTTAAGGGTTTGATTCTACTGGCACCAGTGCCAGTGAAGGGCATCGTTTGGCCCTTCCCCGGACGCGTTAAGTGCTCAATCTAGGCCGTCCCCTGAATCTAAGTTCTACTTTCGGTTCCGCAGACCGCCCCCCTAAAATCTTGCGGAACACCCCCCTCCCCTTACCCCCCCTCTCCATGAAAGTTGCACAATAGGGCACCAGGTGGAGGATGTTTCACTCGATATTTATCCAATCTAGTGTGTGTGTAGTGTCGAAGTCAGGAGATGAGTAGAAATGCAGTAGGTAGTGCAACTGTAGTTGTAGTTGGAAGTTGTGTCATACAGGTTGACTGGAGTGGTTAGTAGTGAAAAGCATGTGATTTTCTTGTCTATAATGTTGTTTAGGTTAGTTAAGTACAAAGCACATTGGAGCCTGGATTTCAAGTTACACTTCGGCCTGCACCCGTGACCGTTAAGGGCGAAAATTTGGTCACCTACCTGAAAATCAGGGTCAGAATTTCAGCAACTGGGGGCCTCAAGTTCTGCCCCCAGGGATATCGACAGCCCTGCCCGTGACACTTCGTTCAGCCATCCGCAGCTAGAAATGTGATCAAAGCCCGGCTTCTACAGTTGGTGTGGGCTCCCGCTGTATGTTACGGGTGCAACGAATCGAAGTAGCGAGAATTGCACTAAGGTGTCAAACGAGTACAAAATGTGAGCGAAGGCATGAGCAAACATTTATACGCGAAACATGCAAACGGTAACGCGGTGCGTGCGAGCTAGCTAGTGCTACGCTGGAAGCGAGGCTCGGGCTAGTCCCGAAGCGTAGGCCGACACGGCCGGTCCAGCAGTGCGAGGTTTGGGAAAACAGTGCGCGCGAAGTCGGCGAAGCCCCGTTAGCAGTACCTGGCGAACAGCGGCTGCCGCTGTACGCGATGTTTCAAAGTGCGCTAAAGGAATATTGAGAAAATTCCTTACACTTACCCCCCCCCCTCAAGAAGCCCCCTCCCCTACGCGAGTGCGTGTATATCGCGGAAACCCCGGCTCCTCAGGTACACTTGCAGGGCAGGGTGGTTTTCGATGTTGGCCAGAGGCACCCAGCTATCCTCAGTTGGCGTGCGATCCTTCCAGCGAACGAGGAACTCAATCCTCCCGATTCCCGTGGGGTGTCGAATCCGATGGTGTCAGAATGTTATCTTATGTTCTAGCCTGTAGTTGGGTGCTCTATAGCGAGTACAACCCTTTTAGGGTTTGCTATTTGTATCCTCATTCCTGCTAGTTCAACCCCCTTTTTCTTTCTTCTAATTTTGTCATGCTATCAGAGCAGGTCGATCCCCCTGGATCGATCCTGTGGGTGGGTTACCACCCCCTCGCTTCCGCTGCAACTTTTCCTTCCCGCCGTGCGCCCCGAGGCGCGCGGCGGTTTTCTGCCCGCCGTGCGCCCCGAGGCGCGCGGCGGTTCTCTGCCCGCTGTGCGCCCCGAGGCGCGCGGCGGGCTTCTGCCCCGTCGTTCGCCGCGTCGCCTTCTGGAGGCGACGCGACGGGCGACGGGGACCCGTCGCGGCCCCGCCGCCCCGCTTCGCGGCCCCGCCGCCTCACGTCGCGGCCCCGCCGCCTTCATTTCGTGGCCCCGCTGTCAGATTTATAAGACATAGTTGCTGTAGGCTATAGTGGGGTAGCACATATGGGGTACAGGGTTTCTAGGGTTGCATTTGTACCCAATCTTTCCTTAGTCATTCCATTCCTGTTTTCTTTCCTTCACATGGTATAGAGCGGGTCCTACCTTAGGACCGTTTTTTTTTAGGGCCCACCGAAGCGCGCCCCGAGGCGCGCCTTTTTTTTAGCGACCCCCTCGGGTCGCCTTTTCCCTCGCGGCCCCGCTGTCCCTCAGACGCGGCCCCGCCACCTCTCCTGATCGCGGCCCCGCCGCCTGTTTGACGCGGCCCCGCCGCCTACCCTGACGCGGCTCCGCCGCCTCCCCTGACGCGGCCCCGCCGCCTCCCCTGACGCAGCTCCGCCGCCTCTCCTGACGCGGCCCCGCCGCCTGTCTGACGCGGCCCCACCGCCTCCCCTGACGCGGCCCTGCCGCCTCCCCTGACGCGGCTCCCCCGCCTCCCCTGACGCGGCACCGCCGCCTCCCCTGACGCGGCTCCGCCGCCTCCCCTGACGCGGCCCTGCCGCCTCCCCTGACGCGGCTCCGCCGCCTCTCCTGCCGGCCCGCCACTGCACCTGCCGGCCCGCCGCTGCACCCAGCGGCCTGCCGCCTCTGACGACCTCGCCGCTGCACCTGCCGGCCTCGCTACTGCACCTGCCGGCCCGCCACTGCACCCTACGGCCCGCCACTGCACCCTACGGCCCGCCGCCTGCACCTGCCGGCCCGCCGCTGCACCTGCCGGCCCGCCACTACACCTGCCGGCCCGCCGCTGCACCTGCCGGCCCGCCACTGCACCGGTCAACCCGCCGCTGCACCTGACGGCCCCGCCCCTGCATCTCCTGGCCGAGCCGCCTCAACAGCCGAACCGCCCGTGAGCCGAGCCGCCCGACGCCGAGCCGCCCGGGACCCGAGCCGCCCTGCCGCCGAGCCGCCCGGGAGCCGAGCCGCCCTGCACCCGAGCCGCCCAGCCGCCGAGCAGCCCGGGAGCCGAGCCGCCCTGCGCCCGAGCCGCCCAGCAGCCGAGCCGCCCAGCACCCGAGCCGCCTTTCTGCATACCTACACGACCTGCCCTGCCTGGTGAGCACAGTCCCACTGACACTGCGAGCTCTTTCCCTGCTGCTTGCACTGCGTCGCTGTCGTCGCCATGGCTAACCCTAGTGTCCTAGCTTTTGACGCTGAGGGTCGCGCCATTGATTTTGAGGTCTGGTTAGACGACCTGCAGCTGTTCTTACAGTGCGACAGGGCTGACGACCTTTCTCTCTTTGATCTCACCTCTGCCGCCTCTCCTGCTCCTGCTGCTGATGCTGATCCCGCTGTCCGCTCTAAGTGGGCCACCCGCGATGCTGCTGCACGTCTTGCTGTGCGTCGCCACCTCCCTACCTCTGAGCGTGCGCACTTCAGTCAGTACAAGAGTGCTCAGACCTTGTACGACGCTGTAGTTGCGCGCTACTCCTCCCCTGCCACTGCTGCACTGAGCCGTCTCATGCTTCCCTACCTCTTTCCTGACCTCTCTGCCTTTCCCACTGTCGCTGACCTCATTACGCACCTCCGCACTAGTGACACTCGCTACCGCGCCGCCCTTCCTGCTGAGTTCTGCGCTAAGAACCCCCCCCCCATGTACATCGCTCTCTACTACGTAGTCGCGCGCCTCCCTGACTCCCTTCGAGTCGTCAGGGACCACTTTCTCGCAGTCTGTCCCACCACCCTCACCGTCGACCTCCTCGAGAAGGCCCTCCTCGCAGCGGAGAAGAGCATCGTCGCTGTAGGTGCTTCTCGTGGTGACCCTCGCACCCCCATCTTTGAGGGGTGCTCTCCTTCCCCCTTGCTGCCCTCTGTTGCCTCTGCTGCTGCTGCCGACCTGCTTGGTCTTGAGTCGGTCGGCGCGGCGTCTGCCCCTAGTGGGAGACGTCGCTCCAGCAAGGGCAAGGGGGGCAAGGGCGCGGGTGGAGCTGGAGGGGGCGGTGGCGGTGGCGGCGGTGGCGGCGGAGGGAGTGGGGGTGGCGGCGGGACTAGTGGCGGGGGTGGTGGTGGTGGTGGCAGCAGCGGCGGAGACGGTGGTGGTGGTGACAGCGGTGGTGGTGGAGGCAGCGGCGGAGGTGGAGGCGGCGGAGGTGGAGGCGGTGGAGGCGGCAGCGGAGGAGGCAGTGGTGGTGGAGGGGGTGGATCTGGTCGGGGTGGTACCCAGCAGCGTAGCGGCGGTGGTGGTGGCCAGCGCTCGCAGCGGCAGCAGCAGCAGCGCTCTCGGGACATCCCTTCGCCTCAGCAGCTTCGTGAGTGGTACGCTGGGCGTCAGAGGGGTGGGGGTAATGGTCCCTGCACCTACGTTCTTCGTTCCGGCGACCGCGCGGGTGAGCAGTGTGGGGGTGCCCACGCCACCCAGCGCTGCTTTGGCCGCCTGACGGACGCCTGGCGTCAGCAGTTCCCTGGGGCTAGTGAGATCCCTCGCTGGGATGAGCTTCTCAGATCTGGTGTAGCGATCTTTGGTCTTGATTTTGATGCTATCCTTACTGCTATGTATGTTGTGGATTATAGTGAGGAGAATGAGGGTTACCGCTGTTTCCAGCCCGACCCGGGCATTGGTACTGCTGCGCTAGGTGCTTGTGAGGCTGCTGCTCTAGGTGCCAGTGCGACTGCGCTCTCAGGTACTGGTGAGACTGCGCTCTCAG